GTGTTTAAATATGTATGTGTATTTATTTACAAAAGAAAAAGTATGTATATCAGTTTTCTAGTAGCCATAGTACAAGCATTGCTAAGTTTGGGACTGGAGAACGTTGTGTAAATATGTTTCCGAAAATATTTCAATACTTATTTACTTTCAATCTTGTCAAACCATTCAATTATCAGCTTATTTTCTTTATAACCGCTAAAACACTGATCGAAACACTTCGTACTTTTTAGTTGACGCGGAGTTTTGCCGTCTCTTTCACCACGTGTATCATCTGAAACTGTTTCAGATTTGATTACATCATGATCTCGATTATTTTTTAATAATAAATCGAGCTGATAAATTTGAATATACAAAAAATGTTCTATAGTGTTTTTTTTCTTCCGCCAGTGACATAATGCCATTACGGACTAGAAATATTTCCTACGAACGTTCAGCGGAAACTCCGCAGTCGGCACGTTTCGCATTAATTCAACTCCCAGGTGGTTTCAGCTCAACTGATCAAAGGCTATATAAAATCTGTACTCGCTCCTTAGTTCCACAGAGAGCCGCGCTACCCTACACCCCTTGAAACACAAAATTACACGAGTTACGACACCCGAGGGAGGGGTGGCTGGCTACTGCTGCAATAAAAGTTTAACAATTCTGTTACGCGAAATTTAAAAGTAGAAAGTGGGTCTTAGTGAAAAGATTTTAAAAATAATCTCAATTTCGGATAAAAGTTTAAATCATGTTTCACTATATGATTTAAACGAATGTAATAAAAATGTATGTAATTGAAGTGGATAAAATCATTGAAATATAAATGTACCTAATATACACCCATCTATGCCATATACGTTTCAAAGTTTTCTGTTAATCTTATACCATAGGCATCGAATTAAAAAGTTATGACTGTAGCGGAAACCACGTAGATCACACCGATCAGTAGATTTTTACAAAATGTAAAAATTTCATACCGAGAATATTTCGTCGCTAGCAAAGATATTTCTCACTCAAGTTGTCCAAAATTAAAGTATATGTATAATCTTAATGCCGATGCTGAAAAGAATGTATGTGAAAAGTTGCCAAGCGAACAGTTCACCTGATGTTAAGTGAATACCGCCGCCCATAGACATCCCCTACACCCGATGGTTTGTAGATTTCTCTCCCTCGGGTGTAGGAGGAAAACCTTGCAAAAAGTGGGCCCCGGCTACCTCACTCACCAGATGTAACGCGAAAGTATTTTACTTCCGCTTGTCGTGAACTTCCTCGTCTTCTGTGAGGCTGTGGTACCTCGTCGGACGGACCTGCCCATTCGTGCAACAGTGAAATCTGAATATTAATCAATAATATATAATGTTCGGAATATCCCATGGTTCTTCCCCAGACGAGGCCGCCCATTTCTGCAAACACATTTGCGCGGCCCAACCACAGCTCGACTTGGTAGATTTTCAATATAACTTACGCGATGCACGACAGCTCATGTTGGGGTTGTAAACCACAAACACTCCATACCACAGATAGAGTTTCATTTGTACAAGCGCCGTCCGACTTTCTAACTGGCTCTCCCACGCAGCGTATAGGAAATACCGAGCACACCGCTCGTGCCCGTAGACCCCTTATTGTACGAAGGAAGCGACCATTGACCCATATGTGAAATTGACGCGATTTGCATCGACGGTCGCTTCCTACTGCGCGCCATCACGTACGACAGAATATAATACCCCACAAATAGTCGCGACACGCGTATCGTGCATGCGAAATTATAGCGCGCACTTGATCGAATTAATGTTCCATGACCTATAAATAGACGCCCGGTCTAGTGCTTGGTGTTCATAATTGAAATGTACAAATACCGAGGGCGTACGTCTCAATGGTGGAAGATGGAGACAGCATTCGCGACATGCTTGTCAACGAACATCTGTCACAATAAACGGAGATAATTATGTGCCCAAAAACTGACAGCCTATATTTGTCCCACTACTGGGCAAAGGCCTGCTCTATACAGACAGTATTAGGGACATAGTCTACCACGCGACCCTACTTAATGGCAGAACTCATATACCGTCGAAATATTTCAATGAATTTGTTATTACATATTTCGAAAATATGCAGGTTTTCTCATGATATTTTCCTTTATCACCGCTGAGCACGTGATGAGTCAGCACTTAAAGTTAACAATTTTATTGATGCCGGCACCGGGGATCAAACTCTGGTTGCTCGAGTATATTGAATTAAAAGCAAACGCCCGGACAACACTATCACGTACCTGGTATTGGATATGAAAGCTGTAATAACATTTCAGATGACGGCATGATATCAGGCGACACGATTTAATGTATATTTTTTGTATGTAATATTTTGCTCAATAGGTGCCGCATTTGAAATCGCTGTTTGGTTTTACCGTTTTGTAAAATAAATGTTTGTAAGATGTATTAGTTAATCTTATCCTTTAAATGAGCAATTCTTGTATATATATAATTGGAATCTCGGAAAGGGCTCCAGCGATTTTTGTATGTGCGTCGTAGATTTGGGGGCGAAAAAACGATCTAGCTAGGTTTCATTTTTAGAAAATGTCCTTTGATGTTTTAAGGAAATGAAAAATATCATTCGAATATGACGGTAAATTTCGTTATAATAGCTCGGTCGGTAATCGGGCGGCCCCAAAACAGACGGCCGTGGTTCGTATCACGATCATATACACTTATTTTTTTACTTTTTTTTCTATACCAGATCATTGCTTTCTTTATTTCCAAAATACATGATTTACCAAAAAAACCGGTCCTCCACGTACTCTCTGTTAAATATGCATCGTTAATTTTTTGTAATATTTTAATCTTATTTTTATATCATAGTGGAGTTGGTAAAGGTAAAATAGTAAGTTGAACTATTAGGAACGTTGAAATATTAGTCACGCATTAGAGAATTACAGCCTCTGACACTATGTCCATTACATTTCCACAAAGTGACTCAACAGTAAGCGTAGGAGAGAACGGAGTTTTCTTTTTCTAATTGACTAATCGTACTGATAACATTACGATCGGTTTTTAATGTTCATTGTACTAGCAACGTACGAAAATAGGTTAATGTTTTTAAAAGCTCTTCAAGATAGAGTGACCGCCGCCGTTGTTCGGTCGTCAATGTTTATTTTATGGGAAGTTTATGTGTTAAAGATATTTTTATGATCGAAGATAAGTATATGCGTCCATTAAGCCGTAAGTCATTTAGGGATTGTATCGATCCATGTTACACTTAACGACAACAATTATAATATTTTTATTGTGTAATAAAAATAAATACGTTGATGTATGTAATGATGTTTACTATTATATGATGTAGCCATCATTAAAGAATGGAAACTCGGAATTTCTCTGGTAGTTAGTCTCTGAGATTATTCTGAAATGAATTAAATGAGAAAAAAATGAATTATGATAAAAAAAAATACTTTTTCATTATATTTTTATAAATATCGGTAGATTATTTTGGTGACGGTTTTTTTAACTGTTATCTCGTATAATTGACGAATAATTATATAAAAGTAAAAAGTAGCAGCCTATAAATGTACCACTGCTAGTCAAAGGCCTCCTCTGTAAAGAGGGTATCAGGGCATAGTCCACCACGCGGCCCTACTGCGGATTGACGGACTTCACATATCTTTGCATTTGTTTTGTTTAATACTTCGTCCGATATTGCTGCTTATCATTGCCGTCTTGGTCACGCAGAAGGGTGGTACTTTGCACCGAGGTCGAATTGTTTCGCATTTATGATTCACAGCGTCGTGAACATAAAAGTAAACTAAAGTATCAGCCTACATATGTCCCACTGCTGGGCAAAGGCCTCCTCTGTACAGAGGGTATCAGGGCATAGTCCACCACGCGTTTCCACTGCGGATTGGCGGACTTCACATATCTTCGAAATATTTTTTGATTATTATTATTATTTCGAAAATATGCAGGTTTTCTTCACGATGTTTTTCCTTCACCGCTGAGCACGTGATAATCCAGCACTTGAAATTAACAATTTCATCGGTGCCGGCACCGGGGACGAACTTAGGTTGCTCGAGTATATTGAATTAAAGGCGAGCGCCTATTTTTTTTTTTTTAGTCTGTTTGTTGTGAATCGATGCTCATTACGTACTACGCGTCGAACACGATCACTTAGCGTACTTAACGACGTTTGGTTTGACGTTTCAATGCTGCGAGAATCGACGGGGTGTGGGAAACGTTTTCCTGATTCAATACTGGTTTCATTTTAGCCGAAGGCCTTGTGAATTGTATAATATCTTCGCGTTTTAGTTAACTTTGGTAGGGCCACGCAAGTCTTCGCTGATGCACGAATAGCCAGGTCCGCCCTGGTAAATGAGTACCACGACGTCACAGAAGAGTGGACTGATCTGGAATTAATAATAATAAGGCGGCAACGTGTCTGCAAAACCACGGGTGTTGCAAATATCAATGGCCGGCGGTTATCACTAAACATAAAGTGTACCAACAGCTCGCTAGCCACCTTATAACATTAAAAAAAATGATACTAGGGCATTAATAAACTTGTCTGAATAGCGAATTGTCCTAATACATTTTTTAACTATAGGGGAGTAAAAAACCGATTTGGTTGTTCTGTCATATTTCCAATGACATTAATGAATTTGTTTGCCATGTCTTTTAGTATGTTCCTTAACCCCCTACATTAACGAATTGTGAAAGAAATGCCGTCAGTCTTTACGTATGTTCCTCTGCCCCGTACAAATCAAATCAATATAGAAGCGGTTGAGAAAGAAAAGCCACTGACCTGAAAAGAACCGGCGCAAGAAACTCAGCGGGAATTTCTTTGTTTCATACCATTATATATCATTTAAATAATCACTAACATTATAACCTTTAAAACACAAACGTTCCTTTACAACTTTTGCTAATTTATAAATTGATACATTGCGAACGTTTCCTGGGATTGTGTTGTAAAAACGTATACGTTGTAAGTTAATGTACCGCCACCGGTCCTAACGTGTGCCTCATCGCCCGCAGAAAGAAGATCGAGTCCCTCGGCAGGATGACGGCGATGACGCAGGAGGAGATGGTGGCCGGCGCGAGGACGGTGGCCGCCGGCCTCGAGGCCCTCAGGGCCGAGCACGCCCAGCTGCTGGCGGGCCTCGCGGCCAACACCGAGCACGAACACGAGAAGGCGTCGCTGGTGAGGAAGAGCATCGACGCCATCGAGCTGGGGCTGGGCGAGGCGCAGGTTTGTCGAGCTTCTTTGGTATTTTTTTTCTTTAGGCACAGACAATGCCCTCATTACGACCTTTGCAGCGTGATAAAAGTATAACGATTGAACTTTTCATGTTTGTTTTACAAAGAAACGTCGCTCGTATTACTCGATACAATGGCGTTTTGGTGTTTTGAATTGGCGAATTCAATATGGATATCTTTTGTAGAAATTATTATTTTACGTTTAAGGAGTAGTTAATATGTTGGTGACATTTTTTCATTGGGTGTACAACATTTTATACATTACTAATGTTTACCGTTTATTAACGTTTTCTGTAATATGTAGTCAAACTTAATGTCTTGAATGAAACATATGTATGTCTGAAATAGTCCTCCTCGATACACACAGGCTTGCCTAGTGAGGAGACAACAGATATTACATTTATTTATATTTATTCAGATACTAGCGACCCGCCCCGGCTTCGCACGGATGCAATGTATTATACATATAAATCTTCCTCTTGAATCACTCTATCTAAGTAAAAATAAACGCATCAAAATCCGTTGCGTAGTTTTAAAGATTTAAGCATACATAGGGACATACAGGACAGCGGGACGACTTTGTTTTATACTATATAGTGATACGTGAGGGCGTCGAAATCAATTAGCCGAAATACCTCGCTACGAAAACGTTTATCTTTAATAGTTTTGTTTGTCTCCGCTCATGTCTTTAATATAACTTTATGGAGTGTTTACACGCACTTTTGTGTATAATACACAGAAGGAAATCCTTGATGGCTCACACGTCTGTGGTCTGTGCACAAAGCATTAGTAGTGCATTGAACATCGTCGGCCAGAAGGCAATTACCTCGATTAACTCACTGTCAACTGTTTAACTGCGAAGTTTACTTGACACGGAGAATTCGTTATTGATCTGAATTCAGTTGACTGTTATATGTATGGTATTTGTTCACCCGTGTAAAATATCGCATTGTACCGTGATCATCGAATGGCGGTATGAATAATGGGTAAATAAGTATTTAATCAGTGAAAAGTGTCTTATTTTGAAGAATAACTGTAAATCTCAGTCTACTTCAATATCTTTCCTTTAAATCATAGACTATTGTCATACATACGAAGCAGTTTTTAAAGGAAAGTTGAAAAATTAAAAAATTCTATTATTATTACTATATTTTTCTGACTTTGCCCTTACGGTAGGTACTTAAAACCCTTTACATACATAAATTTCACGTTGAAAAACATCCAAATCCGAAAATTATCTTAGGGTCACATAAACAGTTGTCCCGTGTGGGAATCGAAACTCTGACGCCCGCGCGCCGAAGCCATTGTCTTAGCGACTGCGCCACGGAGTCAACTACTATTTGACTATTTGACCGCGGTAATAAGCGGTCAAACATAAGCTTCAAAACGGTATTTGAGTCATTAATTCGATGACGAGTTATGGAATTTTGGCCTTTAGCCAATAAAACGTTCAGTGCGCACCGTTACTTACATCAGACACAACGCAATAGCAACAAAACGTAAGACTAGAAATTGACATTACTCTGTCAGGTTCAGTTTGATGACTCCGTGGCGCGGTTGCTAAGGTATTCGCTTCGGCGTGGGTCGTGGGTTCGATCCCCACCCGGGACAACTATTTGTGTGACCCACAGATACTTGTTTCGCATCTGGGTGTTTGTCCACGTGAAATTTATGTTTGTATAACGTCCTTACAAAACACGATAATGTTAACCTAAAGTAGTGCAAAAAAGAAAGATTTAGTCAGGTCGTGTACTGTCCTGATCAGCTTGTCCATTCGGGAGAAACTGTTGTTTAGCTTTGACCTTGAAAATAAAAATATTTCTTAAAAACTCGGCATATACGATCTTACAATAAAATGTATCTGTGAAGCCTATTCTGTTCGGTGCCAGCATGGGATACCGTCAAATAATAGTTTTATAATTGCTTTATGTCATGAATCCTATTCATTCGAATAGCCCTTCGTATAAAAGTTTTTAAAGTAATATTTATGAACATTTCTTTAACATAATAATATTTTTTTTAATGAAAAACATTGCACTTACATTAGGATAACTTTATCCTGTGTTGTAAGGACGTTTTACAAACATAAATTTCACGCGGACAAACACCCAGATGCGATCTGTGGGTCACACAAATAGTTGTCCCGTGTGGGAATCGAACCCACGACCACCGACGCCGAAGCCAATACCTTGGCCACTGCGCCACGGAGTCACCAGATAATTAAATAAATAAAGAATAATTGTTATGTTAATAATGTCTCATGAAAGTTTTAATACTTTTGTTAACATTTATTTTTGTCAATAGGTATATTAACTTTCCTAATTTAAAATTAATTTACGAAATCAAATTATAATTTTGTAAGTCAATGACTGATCGAACAGAATATCGCACCACTAACCTCTGCTGTCGGTTTTCGTCTAATCAGCTTAGCCAACAGTGACAAACGTCCTTCGTACGGTTATAAAATGTACGTTATCGGGCTATAAAATTGTTATCCCGTTATTCTGTTAATGAAATTCGTAAGTTTATCTCGAAGATAATACCAAATCACTGATATACTGTTTATCACTTGCATAGATGGATTATGTGTCGATGAATGCGTCTCTTTGGTAAAACAGCCCTGTGATTAAAAAGTCTTTTAATGTTAGGTATACTTATTTTGAAAAATTATAAGAGTAAAGTTTTTACGTTGCACGCGCATACCGACCCTCAAAGCTCCAAGTTGCAATAAACCTTTATTAAGTGCATTTAAAGTCTGCGCTAAAGAAGTATAAATTATTAACTGCGTACATGAGTACACTTCTTTACATAAGTACGCACATACTTTTTTATAACAAAGCTCCATACCAGCTTAGTAATACTATCGATCGGTCAGCGGATCCATGCGACGAGTCCCTTAACAATGGGCTGTTGGTGAAACTTCACCGTGCACAGAATATGTTTTTAAGCCACTTCTTTTTAGATTAGAATCTAAAATATACAAATCTATAATGCAGTCTTATATAAGTGTGGTCACCAGCGGCGTTTAAAACGTACATCTGCATCATCTCGAGAGAAAGCAACGTTCCTTGCTGTAAAATATAATTGATATCTTTAAATTAATAAGGTATGTTTGAATTTTTAGTTCAAATAATAATAATAAATTCATTTTTCTTGTTTTTCTTTATTTTTAGTTTCTCCTGGTGGTATATACACGTTTTCGAAGCAAAAGGTATAAGTCGATTTATTTTCTTTGAGCTAAAAACTGAATAAAGTTATAGATTGTAACACTTTATCCTCTATTCTTTAAAAAACTTTATAAAACTTTATTCATAAAGAAAAAGATCATTCGTAAGAGTCTGACACAGTTTTCTATAGAAGGGAACGCGGTCAGTATGAGTGTCTCGGAGTCCTTTAAGGCATTAAAAAGATCTAGGCCGACCCTCGAGGCGGCCGCTTGAATAGTGTTGCCATGGTTAGTCCTAGATCCGGGATAAGTCTAGTTACTTGTCGTTTAAGTATTAGTAATCATATTTTTAATGATTTGAGGTTTCTTACGCCCTCTAATAATATAAGCGGAAGTAAGAAAAACATGAATCATAAAATTATAAGGATTAATTTCAGATTTTATATTAAATAAAAGTAATCCGTTGTCAATAAAAAATCGCCTAAATTCATTGACCAGCTAATATATGCGGTACATGTATGATAAAATATGAAGATAAGATAATATTATTGAGTTTCATCTTATTTTAAAATTTTTACTCTGTTTTGTAATTTGTATCTTTTTTTATCTTTGTTTATATCTTACTTAAAACCCAACCCAGCCCAATCCCCTAAACTTACTTATGTATATATTTTAGATTGTACATATATTATTTGTTAAAGGATCCGTGATAGCTCAGTGTCCGGGCGCTCGCCTTTAATTTAATATACTCGAGCAACCTGAGTTCGATCCCCGGTGCCAGCACCAATGAAATTGTCAATTTTAAGTGCTGAATTATCACGTACTCAGCGGTGAAGGAAAACATCGTGAGGAAACCTGCATATTTTTGAAATAATAACCAAAAAAAAAAATATTTCGAAGATATGTGAAGTCCGCCAATCCGCAGTGGGGCCGCGTGGTGGACTATGCCCTGATACACTCTGTATAGAGGAGGCCTTTGCCCAACAGTGTGATATGTATAGGCTGATACTTTTCTTTATCTGTTAAAATGTTAAGGCAGTTAATTTCAAACAATTACAATGTCACTCAATCGCACTTCCTCAATTTCGTAATCGAGTCAGTCCCGTAGAGTAGAATATATGGTGAACCTACAGATAGAGTAATACTAAAACGATCTGTTCAAGTGCATTTATGCACTACACGAGCTGAATTTATTGGTGGGATGTAGCACTTGACTTTAGTACATTATTCCATTTCATAACATACGCTGCAAATCAAGATAAAAACGCTTAACGTATTAAATGGAGTACTTTGGACTGTCAATCTGCAAAAGCTATGTCAAATATAATAACACAGAACCGGTATTAAATTATTACACTAATGTAAAACTACAATATAACCGTAAAAAATGAATTGAATTTTCAAAATTTATTAATTAAGGTAAATGACATAAATACTAGGAACAAACATAAATTAATCCTACCCGTGTCCAGATTGCGTAGAATAAGTTAATCTTTTATGGCCCGATGTATACTTTTTCACAACAAAATTCCCGGAAACTTTAAAAAGGAATCGGTTAGTGAAATGAATTGATCGCTCCTGGTTCTTTCAAGTGGAATTTAATATATTTGTAAGCATGTTTGTTATTTTTTTTGGCAAATTTATGTTAAAAAATTGTCCCGCTGTGTTTCTTTCGCCGGTTCTTTTTTTCCGAACCGGTAGCAGTGTTTTTTTACAATCAATAAGTAAGAGTGTAATGCTTCTCTGTTGAAATAAATATTTGAATTTAAATTTGACTCTTAAGCTTTGAGCAGTCATATGCTCTGTACGGAGGGTATTAGGGCATAGTCCATCACACGATCCCACTGCGGATTCGCAGACCACAATATATCTTCGAAATATATATATGTCGGAGATAGGTGGATCACATAGGACAACTCGTTGTCATATCCTTCATTTTAATTTACTTGTTCGATTAAAATCAACAATAACGAAAATAATTATTAACCACACTGATGTAATTGAATGGAAACGTCGCAAGTTGGATACAGGAAGATGACCGTTCGCACCGCCGTCCCTTTTCCAAGTGGCGTGCCCGAACACGTCCAGAACACACCCCCGTGTCCGATGTCAATTGACTTCCACAACTCATAACCGTCAAGTGACTTTCCGAGACGTTTCCGAGAGGTACCAATAGATGGTGTTGTAATCAAATTATAGCGCCACGTCGTGATCCTGCGACATATATATATATTTGTTATTATTTGTCTTGGTAGACTTTGACAGTTTTCGACAGTTTTAGACTGTTACAGTTTTCGACGAGTACATACACTGGCTAATTCTATAAATGCTGCATTATCGGAATAATATGAAGGGTAATTTAAGTAGTATGGCCGTAGATGGCTCGTACTGTATTTCTAGTTAGTTGGCTATAGTTGTAACACGAGACCGCTGCCAGTAACCGCACCAAATTGCAACGCTACATTGCGCCCCGCGAAGCGATTACACATCATGCAGACATCTGTATCGCTGAATTTTTACCAAATTTCAATGTAGCTAGACAATATTGTGGCCATGATCGGTCACAATTTCGGGATAAGCCTGATTACACCTGTTAAATTTGTACGTAATTGTTGTAATATTTTGCGACAACAGACGTGCAATCAATTACTTCGACAAGGTGATCTTATTTGGGTAATTACTTGACCATTGTCCAACGATATCGGTCGTGTAAGATATCATTGACACGTGTGTTATTTATTAAAAAAAGTCTTGTGCTTTTAATATGTTTCTTTTACTTGCGGCGTTGGGGACTATGTAAGGTTACATCAAGCGTGGATTGCAGTTGCAACACCTGACTATTGAGTTTTCGAAGACGTGGGGAACTTGTTAATATTGTTTACGTAGTGTTTTTAATTTGTCAAGACTTGGCGGCGCAGTTTCGAAGCTATTGGCTTCGGCGCTGGGGCAAATATAAATACTGCATGATAAAAATGACACTGGAATTCTCTGCGATGCGTTTAATAAACGTCGCACTCTTATTAAGCCGTACCACATAATAGTACAGAAAAATACTGAAAGCCCGTAGTACATCACTTTACGAATAAAGGGAAATTAGAGCTCCCGCCACCTTTATGTTTGCGAATAAGCCTGGAGCTCAGTGATGTACCGAGAAATCTGCACCAAAACTATTAAATTAATTTTTTTTATGTGAAAAGTTGTCAAGCCAGCAGGAGATTAACCTGATGTTAAGTTATTACCGCGGCCCCTACACCTGAGAGCTTGCAGACGTTTTGACAACTTTTAAAATAGTAGACCGCCGCTACGAGTACCTCACTCGCTCGAGGAAACGCCGAAAGTTGTCACTTCTACTTGAGTCTGTTTTCTTTGAACCGAGGAGGAAGAGTCTGCCCATTCGTGCAACAGCAGAAGCTGATCGTGGTCCTACCACAGAAACATTAGTAATTGTAGCAAAACTCCAGCCTTCATGGTCTTAAGTGCATGATATCAATTGTTCATCCAGCTTGTCCAGATAGTAACGTGTTTGCCTTAGATATCGGTTTGAATCACGGAACTCAGATAGTCACTTAGGATCAGGGGAAGCGAAACCACCTGATCGCTTGCCGCCACTTCGCATTAAAAGAAAGATCTGTTTTCGACATGTATAGGTTTGACTGATGTATTTGCTTGTTAACAACTATTATACTTTAATGTCTTCAATTAAACTAAAGTGAACCATCACATCGTTGTAAAATTAGATTTGAAATTGTTTGTTTGGTTGTTGTAAGTAAATGATTTGTAAAAAAAGACGCGTCGAATATTTCTTTGATATGCGAAAATACAACGTAGATAAAAGACGTTGAGATTTTCGTCGGTGTGGCAATCAACCGTTACGCTTAATGGTTATAGCGTCTGGGCCTGAAACCCGAAGACGTGAGTTCAATTCACGCAGCGGCCCGAAGTCCATCGTCCTTTTCCTAAAAAAAATTAATTCGCTGACATTTTTGAGGTAATTATGGAATTATGCATCTATGGAACCATTAATATAAACCCATACCGTAAAAACAGATCGACTTTTTGCGACGATAGGAAATAGAAGCAAATGCATCTGACAGTAAGTAGCGTTTTTGGTATAAAAAAAAATAAAATTACTATTTCAATAAATACCATAGTAGGCTAGGCTAGGCAGAGAGTCATTTCTACATTTGTATTTATATTCATCGGTTACGAGTCTAAATATCTGGTAGACTAAAAAAGATAGAATAACTTATTTAGCGGAATAAATTTCTCCTACCAATTTTTTTTAATTGGCTATTTTAATTAACGAAGTTATCTAAATGTAATACGATAAGGTACGTCACTAGTTGCTTATCTAACAACGTGGACGAAAGCGGGAACTGCAGCCCTTAATCATGAGGCGTGGCACATAAGGGGCCCGGTGCCGACGCACCCAGGGCCACCCTTGGTGGAGGGGGTATCGAAGGGGGGAGAATATGCTGCAGCAATGTAGACGATGTTTTGTTTGTTAATTTGTCGACTGAAAGTATGGCCGTGCCTCATTTTTTTGTCCAGAGGGCTTTGTCTTGTCGATTATATGACGATGAGGTACCATCATCGTTGTCGTTGTTTTTAAACGGATATATTTTTCGTTAGATTGTCTTGTATGCATCGATGGCCATAATGTATTATACATTATGGCAATCGATACGGAAGCTGAATGGACAAAACTGATGTTGTATGTGTTTGTATCGTCTTCGCGCTGAACGGATTAGAATTAAAATTCGTAATGTACATAGTACGTAGCGTATACCCTGGATCAATGGATAGTAGACTTATCCTAAAAAGTTTAACTTTATCACGAAAAATATTTCTAAATTGTAATCCATACTTTTATTCTAGATGACTTTATATGTTTTTATTAATGTGTATAATAATGAGACACTAACGCCCGATTTCTGAAACATTGATCATCGTAGAAGTTAACTAATCAGCTGCCAAGTGGCTTTTCAAATGTTATTTAAGTTGCCAAAAGGATGGTTATATTGATTATTAAAGGATGGTTGAATTGATCAGAACGATCCTCTTAATGATCAGAATGATCAATTCAAAGAGTTTAACCATCCTTTTGGCAACTCAAATGACATTTGAAAAGCCATTTGACAGCTGATTAGTTAACTTCTGCTATGATCAGTATTTCAGAAACCACGCGTGAGTGTGCCTACGTGTAGATACGGTGATTGAATGACTACCCTCATGTCGGTAGCAAGTACTAGGGCGGGTAACTAAAGTAGGGTGGCTGAAAGTAGTATATAAAAAAAATATAGCTCAATTATTTTTACATGCTTATGCGGAGACTGCGGGGCCGGGGGTTTGAGTCATTGTCTGAATGCTTCTTCTGCCTTTGTTTTTATAAGAAGAATATCCGGTAGGGGTGGAAAAGGGTGGTTTCTCACAATGAAAACGGATTAATAATCTCCTCTTTGTCATACATGTATGTAACATTTTAATCCTACTAGTTACTTTTAATAGACATCCTATTAAAAGTAACTCATAATATTCTCTGTTATAAAACATAAGTGTTATAAATAATAGAAATAGAATAATAGAATTACTTGAAAGGAAATAGAACGGCTAAATACTTATTTCGTCGCGCCCCAAATGTAGCAAATAGTCGCAACTTCAAGTTAAAATCTAATTTTAACAAACTCTACAAAACGCGTAGGTTTCTTACAATAATTGCTCGGCTAATTACAAGAAATTATTAAACGAAAACTCAACATCAGCCTTTCTCTCCGAACCATCTGTCTCATCGCTCCCGTGTGCCAAGTTCAGTCGTGAGCCGTGTATTTTGTTTGCAGGTGATGATGGCCCTCGCCTCCCACCTGCAGTCGGTCGAGGCGGAGAAGCAGAAGCTGAGGACCCAGGTGCGCCGCCTCTGCCAGGAGAACGCGTGGCTGCGCGACGAGCTCGCCGCCGCCCAGCAGCGGCTGCAGGCCTCTGAGCAGCGGGTGGCCCAGCTCGAGGAGGAGAACAAACACCTGGACTTCATGGCCTCCATACGGTAGGCGGCGTCCTCTTGGTTTTATGCGAGACGGTGGCGAGGTCTGGCGGTCCGTCTTATGTTGAGCGATAGCCGCCGCCCCGTAGGGTTGCAGACCAGTTGCCACCGTTTTGATACAGCGGGCCCCGGCTAACTCACTCAACAGACGAGACGCACTAGTGTAACATTTCTACTTCACGACGGTCTTCTGTGAGGTGGTGGTGCTTACACGGACGGAACGTCACACTCGTGCAACAGCCGAAGCTGTTTCGTGGTCCCACCACAGCTACCTCGCGAGGTGACCCTTATATTTTACAGCCGACTTCGATACATACATAAGTACGCTCAAAAAACGTTAACCCTCTTAGCAGTTAGTTAAAGCCATTCCCATCATCAATCTTATCCGCCTCGTAAAGTGTACCATCCTCAGTCTGCTATCATCTGTCGAACACACATGGTAATGACCGTTTCCACTTTGCCGTCAGCAAATACGACAGCGACGTGACCGAGGAGTCGGAGAACAACCGCAGCGGCCAGGCGGACAACAAGCGAGACGATCCGATGGTTGACCTGTTCCCTGACGACGAGCACGACGACAACAGGAACAACAAATGTAAATACTACCTATACAAGTCCCACTGCTGGGAAAAGGCCTCCTATTTATAGGGGTTATCAAGGCATAGTCCACCACGTGATTCCACCGCGTATCATTATAGTATAAGATATATATATTTTTTCGTTATTATTTCAAAAATATGCACGTTTCCTGTATTCAGCACTTAAAATTAACAATTTCCTTTGTGCCGGGATTTGATCGCGTTTTGTTCGAGTATAGTGAATTAAAGTCGAGCGCTCGGACAATGATCTGTGTTCATCATTAATCATTACAGCCTTTTTGAGTCCACTGCTGAACATTGGCCTCCCCCATAGATAGTCACGATAGGCCTCTCCCCATAGACTGTCACGAAGTACGACCTTGGTCCACCTGCATCCATCTGTGTATTACGTGCCATATAAATTACGCCTTGTAATAATGCTGATTTAACTCTGTCCGACCTCGTAGGCATGTCGTAGCATTTTGATAACGCCAAAGCTGATCTATAGCTATCCGCCCTCGTAGCCATGTCGCCTACGCCGCCGTCGCAGTTCGCGCAGCAGGTGAACACCGGCTACGAGATCCCGGCGCGGTTGCGCACGCTGCACAACCTGGTGATCCAGTACGCGTCGCAGGGCCGCTACGAGGTGGCGGTGCCGCTCTGCAAGCAGGCGCTCGAGGACCTGGAGAAGACCTCGGGCCACGACCACCCCGACGTGGCGACCATGCTCAACATACTGGCGCTCGTCTACAGGTGCGGCGATTGACACGAACCCTGGGGGACCCCGCGGTCGAGACCTGGCTAAGGCAGGGATATATGGCATTGTCTAATAGATAAAGCTCAGGTACCGTTGTCTAAGTTCTCCCTAGAGGAGAAAGAATGTGAAGTCATCTTTTAGTCGCCCACGTCGCCCACATCGCCCACGTCGTAGTCACGACGAGCGGAGGATACCATATGAGCCCAGGGCTACACTGAACACCTGTTGAAATTAAACGTATATACATTTCTATAAATAAGTTGGCCAGGCACACAGATTGAAAAGATCATAGTTTTTTTAAGCGACATAAATATGGTTTTAAAATACATACGTGTTTCTAAGTACAAAGTCTCTAATTACAACATAAGTTTTCAAGGAAAAATTTTACGAATAGACTTCAATTGAGCTGGTGCGCTTACGATCTTATACTATCACTATTCGCTTTTGTTCTCATCGGAAGTTTTCTGGAAGACGAGGTTTGTAATTTACAAAACTGTCATAATTTGCATCTTTGTTCCAGAGACCAGAACAAATTCAAGGAGGCCGCTAATCTTCTGAACGATGCGCTCTCCATCCGCGAGAAGACTCTCGGGGAGAACCACCCCGCGGTCGCTGCGACACTAAACAACCTCGCAGTCCTGTACGGAAAGAGAGGTACGGATACACAATAGCAATAATAATGTTATAACAATATATTTTATTTGCTAACGATAGGTTAGCCATAAGGTGTACAGTGCAGTAATTTATTTTATAGGATGTGTAAATATGATACATTCGCTAAAAAGTAGAATAAAATTTAAACATGGTCAAATCCATTGTTTGTTAATTTCGTGATTATATTCATTATTTGAAATAGAAATAATCCTCACTTCCTTAGTAATATTATAAAGGCGAAAAAAGTTTGTATATATGGATGGATGTTTGTTACTCTTTCACGCAAATACTACTGAATTGTTTTTATGAAACTTTACAATAATATAGCTTATGCATCAGAATAACACATAGGCTATAATTTATATACATATATTTATGTATATTTGTTTTTCTGTCTTAATGTTACGCCTTCAGCCTATTCTACGCAGACGTAGTCGCTGGCAGCAGCTATAGAATTATAATGGCGTTATAAATAAATATTTGTCTCTTGCTGTGAAGACCGTTTAATATTACCTCCATTGTTTTATATAAATTGAGCAGTATTATACGCTATGAAAAGTTTTCCGCTTAAAGCGACGCTTATTCGTATGTTGCTTCTGTAATTAAATAATAAATTATTTTTTTAAATTTCGTGACACATTTCTACACAACGTTTTCTAGTCCCAAACATTTGCTATGGGTATTAAATAACTGATGAACATACTTAAACATACATTTCTTTACTAAGCATGTTTTAAAATCTTTTTCAAAAATTGTTTATCTTGAAATTTAAATATTTTAGTTGTGGTATTAAATAAACCATTTTATTATTATTATTATTTTGTAAATAAATACATATAATAAAGACATAGACACCAAGATAGTGAAAAAAACATTATCACAATATTTCTCCATTAGTGGGGATAAGAGGCCCACTAGGCCAATCGGGTCCGTGTGGTCTATCTTCAGCAGTGGACTCGAACGGGTTCTGATGATGATGATGAGGCTGACGATGATCTGTTTCAGGCAAGTACCGCGAGGCGGAGCCACTGTGCAAGCGGGCGCTGTGCATCCGCGAGGCGGTGCTGGGCCGCGACCACCCCGACGTGGCCAAGCAGCTCAACAACCTCGCGCTGCTCTGCCAGAACCAGGTGACTGAGGCCCCTCTTGCCAAGGGCCTTTGGGGCCCGCCAGGACCTAACGAGTGTGGTCACTAGTTCGAGAATCGTCCTGTGTTTGCCGTGTATTCTTGTTGGCCGAGTGTGCGTGCGTGCGTGTGTGTAGCCTTTTTACAAGTGATCCAATTAGGCGATTGCCTGTGTTAACTGAAGCTGGCCTAAGATTTCCACTTAAGATTATTTATTTTTTATATATCTGTGATTGTGCCAGTGATTGCATTGTACACGGTTTATGGGGATCGAATTTTCTGTGTTGCGATTAGTGATCGTAGATATTTGGATAGAAATGTGTAAGGTTTGCTAAGAGGAAATCCACTACCCTTGATAAATCTTCATATTATTTTTTGTAACTGCTAACTGTCTACCCTGTCTACCTCCAATGGGCTTATATTGCATAAAATCTCTTTAATCCATAAATAATTATGTATCGATAAAACAAGCTCTTATGGGATTACCAACACACCTATGACACTGACAATATGCCATTAAAAAGATGCACTTGACATTTTTACTATAAATAACAAATCATTTACATCTATTTTCCCATCAGTCATAAAATATTTATTCTAATAAATCGTTTCAGAACAAATACGAAGAGGTGGAACAGTACTATCAGCGCGCTTTGGAAATCTACGAGAGCAAGCTGGGCCCCGACGATCCCAACGTCGCAAAGACCAAGAACAATCTCGCCTCGTGCTATCTCAAACAGGTCTTTTTTTTTTTGTTTAAAAACATTTCCCTTACTTTAGAATAACATTATCCTGTGTTGTAAGGACGAATACAAATTGATTACAAATTATGAATTACAAATATAAATTTCACGCGGACAAACACCCAGATACGAAACAACTATCTGTTGTCCCGTGTGGGGATCGAACCCACGACCGCCTACGCCGAAGCCAATGCCTTGGCAACTGCGCCACGGAGTCATCATGTAATGGTTAAACAGTGTGATATTGGTACTCTGGGAGTTAATCGTAGATCTGAGTTTGATATTGTGTTTTCCAGTTTTGATGCATGCAGTTGGCCATTGGCCAGTTTATACATCGACACGCTCACTATGCTTTGTAAATTTATATTCAGTTAATCATTGTCGATATGGGATTTCTGCTTTGTGAAAAGTTGTATAGCTAAACAAATAGGCTATTTACAATATTGTCTACATCATGAAAATTATCAAAATTATGTCTATATTTTTCCTAAATAAATTAAGTTAGTTAAGTGTAGTCCTTCATCCATTTTTATAAATTCTCCAGTTTGCCAAATACGATATTTTGAAATAGTAATTTCAGCTTAAGATATCGTTCACTTGGCCATAATGTCTAATTAAAATAATTTTAATTTAATAACAGGGCAAGTACAAGGAGGCAGAAACACTTTACAAGCAAGTACTCACTCGGGCGCATGAGAGGGAATTCGGAACTATTGATGGTAAGACATTATTTTATTTTACAATAATATAATTTCACTATTTAAATGGTAATATAGTAGGTATCATCATACAAATTACATTCATTATTAAAGACTGAATTTATATAAAAAGTAAAATATACCCCTAAAAGTAATTCAAATTTTATCAAAAGAAATTGGCAAAACTACTTAAAATTGTAATTGACCTAACTGATTATTTATCAGAGATATATTATTTTAAATATATTTAGGATGAATAGGATTTTGTATCATTTTTTGTTTTTAACATTTATACCATTTTAAGTTTATTTTTCTGTTTACCATTTCAGAGTATATAGCGTCATTAAATAAACCTAAAAAATAACATCAGCAATTTTAGTGTAGACTTATCATCAGATTAACCATGCAGAGAGGTGTGGAAAATATGTATGAGACTTGTACATTCCTACCAATGCTATGATGACTACGTAAATTTAACTAGGATGTGAAAGATAAATTACATTTTTAGTTTTGAATGTGTATCTTATAGATAAATAATCTTTTCTGATTGAAATCTTTTGTTTATTATAAATTAATTGCTATACAGTTAGCGGGTTGAATTTAAAAAAAATAAATTTGAAAATACTATTAACTGTAGTCATCAGCAACTTCTTCAAATGAAGCATTCTACACAGTTGATAGACAAACAATTAACAGGAAATTGATCATTTAAAATTTTATATATTTTATTGTTTTTCCATGTCATTTATCTTTCTCTATCCGGTGACGGTAATAATTTTAATATTAAAAGGACCAAAGCACAAAATCCTACTAGCATTTTGATTTTTAATTGTTATATATTATATAAATGAATGAATATAGATAATAATACAGATCCTCGTCAAAATATATTTTATAAGCTTTTACTTATACTGCTTCTAGGATTTTTTGTAAAAGGAAATGTTCTTCGGAGTTGTTGTTACATTTAGTGCCTATATTAAAGCTGTGAATAAAAATGTTAAATGTGTTTGAAGCAAACATTGTAATTTTACCTGTAGATCTCTTAATGCATTTTGGTTGATACTCGATTCTTATAGGTTATTTTTATTGTCCTTAACTTCTTGCCTATAAATAGTTATAATTGATATATTGAGTTTATAAAAAAAGTAAAAAAAAATAATATTATAGTTGAATCATTGTCTATTTTCAAGTAAGTTTTATGATAGCAATAGCTTTATAAATATTATAGCAGTTCTTCAGAGTCTTTTGATAAATCCTTTAGGTTATTATTACTGGTTTTATTAGTGTATATTATGTCTTTAAATGTCATCGAGTTCTCTAGGACTTCCAATTTTTTATACCTATACTATGTAAACTGTTCGAGCTTATTCGAATGACGGTTGTGTATAAAATTGCGTGACATAATGTTTATAATTATATTTCATAGCTTCAATGAAAGCTGCTTTAAAAGCTACAAAGCCTTGTGTTGTGGTCTTTGCAATATTATTTTGATAATTGTAAGGACTATAATTTCGCATGTCGTATGTAAAAATTTGAGGACTTTTAAACAGCTATTGTACAAAATTGTAGTGTAATTTTTTTATGTGAATTATGCAATTTTATATGAAAGGCTTCAGTTTTATATAGCAGACGCTAGCTTAGTGCCAATTGTATCATAGTTTTATTCTCACCATCTAGAACATGTATATTATAACTTTGAAATATTGCAAATTATTTTGGCGTTTTATTGATTTTTATAAATAAAATACTAGACACTAATAGGCAGCTTCTGTTTTTGCTTACAAATAGTTTAGTATTACTGTTTATTTAATAAAGAAATTTCAATATTAAATGAAATGTGTATTTAGCCGTAAGCTTAATAATGTACTGATTTATAGAAAATTAAAAGTAACATGGTATCTATGATCAAATCTTCATAGATTCACTATGTATGTATTTGACTGACTGCACAATCTCTTCATCCTTTTGATACTAAAGGATGTAAGCATGGTTTGTTTTATACACCAGAATTAGGTGAGATTTTGCCAAAGTAAAATTGTGTCATTGTTTATAACAAATTGATTATATTTACATTGAAATATTTTATTGGAGGCTATTGTTAACGTTCCTGAAATACCAAATTTTTTAATATCTTACAGCTGTTAAAGTTTCTTATATATCGTTGAATTTATTGTTGAATTTATAATTTTCTTTTTAGTTGCCGCCATCGTTTTATGTATCTTTGACAATTAAATGCCGACCCTGTAAATTTTTCTTTGTTATTTATTTTCACCCTTAATAAGTAACAAAGCGGGGTAGATGTGACAAAAGCATTGATTAGGTGAGTGACACAAGTTTGGATTCCATTAAGTGTGGCACAGGTAGGAAAGGTCATGATGAGCTTTTATATTATTTTTTTTTTTTTTTTTTTACATTTTTATTTTGTTTTCTCCACCGATATGTGTCACACCTTCCCAACTTGTGTCACATTATTTAATTTTCATTATATATGGTGAACGGGAAATTGTTAATGAGGAATTGGAACTTTGCTTCTTTTTAATCATCATACATAGTTTTTGTACTTTGTTTTTGAGTGACATCTATTTATAAGTGTTTGAAGTTACATTTCTTTAGGCGCGTTATGAAAAAATGATGAGAGTGAAATTTTAAGGTAACACCTTTGAAGCTGCCAGCTTAACCACTTAATTTTTTTATTATTTATATCCTTTTTCAGTCTTTTTTATAATTTTATTGTAATTAATTATTTGTATGCAATTAAAAACTATTTTTAATGATGCCAAAGGAGTATAACGTCTCATGTGTGTACATAAGTACATAAGTACACGCAGTTTCTTGTTCATAATAGGGTTGGGATAAATTTCATATTTTTAATTTTATATGATGATTTCGTTTTAAGTGGTATATATACATCTCAGTCTTCACAATACAAGAAGTGCGAGCATGTGAACATACAGAATATTCGCAATTCCATTTTTAATCTTTGAATATGTAAGTTCCGTTTATGAAATGAATCGATCGTTTTCAGGCGACAACAAGCCCATTTGGCAGGTGGCTGAGGAGAGGGAGGAGAACAAACATCTGCAGAAGGAGAATGCTCCTTACGGGGAGTATGGAGGCTGGCACAAGGCCGCCAAGGTAATGCTGTTTTATCAATTCAAATATTATAAATGTATTGATGACTCGGTTGATGTAGTTAAGCCGAGCTAAAGGCACAGGGCTGTTGCTTGAGTATGTCTGTATGGCGATAGTTATCACTTGACATCAGGTGAAACGCCGCTCGCGGTCTCCTTACTTAATAATAAAAAAAAAAAAGTGATAAGTTGGCACTTGAAATTATCAGTGGCTCAATAATGTTGTGATCATACCGCAGGTGGACTCGCCGACGGTGACCACCACGCTGAAGAACCTCGGGGCGCTGTACCGGCGCCAGGGCAAGTACGAGGCGGCCGAGACGCTGGAGGACTGCGCGCTCCGCAGCCGGAAGGAGGTGAGCAATCCGGTGAGAAGTTGAACTTCGCGAAGTGTAACTTCACGAAAGAAGTTAAACTTCTTAAAAGAAGTGGAACTTCCCAGAAGTTTCACTTCATAATCGAAAGCGTATTATTGGTCGGTTCTTTGAATTTGTATTTGGCAAATGAAATTTAAGTTTAATAGAAGGCATTAAATACAAACATTAAATACAAACAAACTCCTTATAATGTTAACCTATTTTATTTTGGAAATTATTTCATTCTGAGAAGTTACATTATACTAATTTATTTTTTTACTTTGGTTGAATTGTGTGTGACTCACTAATAAGTTTATCAAGGTATTTCGATTTCTTAACGTTAAAAAGAGATCATCTATGGAATTCCATTTAAAAGCGTTTGATTATTTTTTTGTTTTGCGTGTTTGAGTAAACCATAGATTAATATTGCAATGGAACTTTCCAAGTATTTATGTTCGAAGAAACACGTCAAAGTATCTAATGTCTATTGTCATATTGTCTATGGTTTTCATTATTTATTTTTTCTATATTTCCCTGGCAACGATTTTATTTTATTAAATACCAAAGCTAAAGAATAAGCGCGTTTCTATTGGCGCTTTTAACTATTCTATATTTTAATTTACCGATTATCTCTATTATGATTTACGAAACACATTTATTTCAATGTATATTATTTATATTAGATACACACGGACACAGCTACCGATAGTTTTACTATATTATATTATGTATTCTATTGATTGATATGTAGTGTTATACAACTAACATATATATTTAGGCACATATTGATATAGTTGTCATCTCCGTTTGCACGCTGCCTAGCACGTCCAACAAGTAAGTCGCAACCACGATAAAAACGTCAATTGGAGCAAACACTTTGTGTTGCAAAAGCACGCCGCTAACAATGGCGCGAGGAAAATTACCGAGGTCTAAGGAGTTTGATCTTAACCACACAGCTGATGCAATTTACTCGATTATTGTTAAGCTTTTAGTATGCGTAGTGATTATATAAGCATTATGGCACATGTTGCCCAAGTATTATCGACTTTTGAATACATCAGTCGATATAATTATGTATCGGCGTGATTGGATGAAGAATTGCTTTTGGTCTAATAATCTGTAGTTATCTAATTTAATATTGGTCCCTATTGTATGCTACAAGATAAAAATCGAAAAAATGTTATAGTACTTTATCTTCTCTGTCATAATAATCTTGTATCGTTTTTGTTATATCTAGCTAGGACTAATGTTGCTATGAATTTAATATTGTTTCTTCGAAAATTAAATAAACTATATTATACAAAAATGTAATCTCATGATTAACACATTTTATATAGCTTTAATTTCATTAGTTTTGTTGAAAAATATTGTTTTTCTCATGATTCATTAACTATTTTTCACTTTTCACTTTATTACTTGTTTCTGGCTTTGCGATAAGAACAATAAACATTGAAAAAAATGTTATAACATTATTTGGAAATCAAAATTTGTTTTTAATTTTTGACGAAAAAAAAACTAATTATAAAATATAAAAAAAAATCTAATTATAAAATATAAAAAAAAAAAACTAATTTTTATTCTGTCACCATTAGAGCAACACTCAAAAACAATCAAATTTTTAATTCTGTTAGAGCAACACTCACGCATGTAATAAATTGACAGCAACCATAGACAATCTATCATCAGTAAAAATGTTTAAAAAATGGCGGTAAAACCGTTGATGAATTGTCTGTACGTAGAAATCCGAAGACGTTTACTACAAAAATAATTTAAAAAAAAAGGTTTTTTTTTTTCAAATCGACCGTTTCACGCGCCGATCCGGCACCGTCGGCGTGAATTGGCGTCATGTTGTTACAAAGTGGTACGTTCGCTAGGCACTGGACATCGTGAAACAGTCGCGCGCTAGGGGCCGGCACGGCGGCCGCGAGCCGGCGGAGCCCCGCGCGGACCACGAGGAGGTTAGGACGGCGGCCTAGGGCTCCTGTGTTGTCCCTCGATGGTGTCGCCGCTATGTCGCACGCCGCTTGCCGGGCCGGGGGGCGGGGCGGGTCGCTTAGATACTCAAGTGAAAACTTCATCGAGGCGTGGTCTAAAGCCTTACGAGTTACAACTTTTTTTTGCTCTATATGCATATAGTAATCGTAAGCATTTGCAATACCTACATTGCAGCGCGAAATGTTTTCGATATCAGTAAAACACAGCAAGCGCCTAAAGCCCAATAAATTTTGCCACATTTCAAATTAAATAAAATAATACACGTACCGTGTTTTTGTCGATACTTTTATGTGACGTTCGCCGAGCGAGTATATCTCTCTCGTTCCCTCAGTCGACTCGAGTCGACAGCCTTACGCCTCAGTCTCATTAGTCCACATTATAAAGTGTACAGCGCGCCTAAAGAAGTTTTCACTTCAAAAATCATAGATCAAAAATCGTTTGTTTTTTTTTTCTTATACTTATACAATTGATATTGGTACCCGCTCCGCCTTCGTGGACCGTCGTCGGGTTTCACTCTATCGAAATACATTGGGCAAAACATTTTTTTTTTCTCAAACATGTTTTCATACACTCCTTCGTTGTAAAACTGTATAAAGTCACACGTCAGATTGTAAACGCACACTTTTTTATTTCGTCACAAAATGTCCAAAACTTGGGTTCAATTTATCTGTAAGCAACGTTAGGGCTTGAGAGAAAAATGTTGGATTCTACTTCCATTCATATTTTTTTTTATTAAAGTCAAGACTATTTTTATTAGTTTTTTATCTCTCTCATTTTGCATGTCTGCTTGTGTCATTGGTCGCTGGAGTTTATGTTACATTAAGGATCTACCCGTTCATCATTATCCGGTTAATAAACTTTTCTTATGTACATAAAAGCAAAGTTATATATTTTGAACTTAAGTTATAAATATACTTATCGCTATCCTGATAAATATAAAAAAATATTAAGCATGCATTAAACATACACACGACTCGACTTATATTCATAAATAACATTTATCAACATTAACCCCATTTATTTCAGACAATTTTTAACCATTTCTTTGTCCGAAAATATTTTATTTGTTTAAAATTAATAACGATGCTTTATTTTTTTCACGCCAACTATATTATTTGATTTAATTATATTGTATCATTTCTTTTATCCGAGCTATAACACATTTCACCGCTCACTTTTTATGTTGTGTCGTATTTCTATAAATTATGTTTACGTTCGCTTGACATACAATCGGCAAGCCGTTCGTGTTTTCCTTTGCACATTTTGATTTTGTTTTCTCCGTTTCTGTTTTGTTCCAAATCTAGGGCGCGAACCAGGCGACCGAGCCCCGAATGAACCTAAAGTCGAAACTGTTCAATGCGCTAGGTATCAACACGGGGAGTAGCGCACCGCACCAGTAGACTAGACTAGACTAAGACCAGACCTGATGGTATAGCTTTTAAGTGTTCACTCGCTTCTGGCGCGGACGTGCCTCGTGGCGCTGAGGAACAAAGCGAAACTTGCCCTTTGTTTGAATAATTGTAACAATAATTATACACTCTCGGAGTCCGAACGAGGTCCGTCAACGTCCCACACACGATTCACCGTCCCGTCTTTTTGTATTTTATAGTGTCGATTTTGTAGTCGCGTTCTATATAATCTGCAATGAGGCGCATGCCTGGTTTTTTTTTTTATTAAGTCCTTCATTATCTGTATCCAAGTATCTATGAAATGCAAAATGGCGGGCTAACGTAGCTTAGTATTATTTATTAGCATGCTGTAAGTTTTAATTACTTTGAAATTAAAAAGAAATATCTTATGGGTGTTTAATTCGAATCACGAAATCATGATGTGTGCGATAGAAATGATTAAGGCATGTGTACCGTCCTCACAGAATGATTTTGTTCGCTTTTGTCTCCAACGTAATAGTTCAAAGAGATATTTTACTGTCATGACAAAAGTGTTGCAAGCCGGAGTTTTCTATTAAATATTCGAATCATTTTAATTTTTTTTTTATTGCAATTTTACAATTTAAATTAAATTGTTCCAGATTTTATTCCATAGAATTCTAAGTGTACTTTTAGGAGAGGGTGCATTTAAATTTGAACTTTTTGGTATGCTATATGATATTTTTATTAATTTGTATAAAATGGTTCACAGGCGAAATTTATTATTATATTTGCATTTATATCATTCAAAGTTAACTTAATTCAATAATCATGTTAGTTTTATCTGTGCATGTCTGAAGAACAATTTTATTTTATTTCATTTACAATTTTCATTTGCGTATTTTATTATGTCGTGTTCTTCTGTGAGAATGCATGAATGTGATTTACAATATTTAAAGAATGTTTCACAAATTCATTTTATATTTTACCAGGTTATTATTGTATTTAACATGATATCAATAATAATAAGTTTCATTCCAGTGGTAGTGTATGTTTGGTTAAGCTTTATATCAGAGCTTAGGTGATAAATATTATTATAGTATTTTTTTATATACATTGATTTTATTTTGTACGCGGGGGGTGCTAATTGAAATTTGAGTTTTTAACGCCTTTTTATTGTGAAAACAATTCCTTTCGATCGAGTTGAAAGTATAGTTAGAATGGGAATCTGAATACATTGTACTATAAAGAATCTCCATTGTATCCAAACTCTAACGAACAGGTATTTCGGAATTTTTTTTTAATTTTGTTTCGTCGCGACGCCGCGACGCCGATTGGTTTATTTTAATTGTTAATAAATATTTATGTAACATTATGCTTTTGTTTTATTTATTTTTTCTTTTATTTTCATTTGGGCTTTCGGAAAGGCGAGTCTACGGTGTTATGCAATTTATACATTCAAAATTTACGTAAAAAAATGCCAACACAGTTTCTTCACAGCACTGGCGCATGAACATGTTACTTTATTATTTAGTACGTATCCATCTTCATCCGGACGGCTTTCGCTGTTTAGTCGTGTGCATGAAGATTAGATTATTCATTAGCTAGTAGGTACACGGAATTCTCATTGTGATATCAGATCATTCTAGCATAATCGACGCCACACATGTTATAAACAGTCGATTTTTGCTTCTAAAAATTACAAAACAAAATAGGCACTTGAATACAAGGCTTACAAGGCCCGTAGCGAGACAATATAGGTACGTGCGTTATTTACGTCTATACTGAATATTTACCCGTTTGCTCATTTGTGGTGGTCTTCTAATAAAACCACAAAGAAAAAGAAGGACATCAAAGCGAAGTGGCATCCAAATTGTCATGAGCACTGTCGCGGTGTTGGATAACCAACCACGTATAACTTAAATGTCGAAAGCGCCGTGTAGTGGGCTACATACATTATTATTACATACATTATTAAAATTGCATGTTGTGCTCGGTTGTTATTGAAATGCAAGTTTAGTAATATATATTAGTCTGTAATAATTTAGTCATGTTAGAATTTGTATTTTGTAACCGTGCCAAATAAATAAATAAATAAATAAATTATATGTCATATAGGTGAATGTGACAGATGATATAGAACGTATGATACCGAAAGAGATAGCTGTCGATAGAGTTATAGAGCGTAATTTGAGTGCCCCAGTTTCGGTGCGCTAGTGCCTATCTATTTATTCGTATGTAATATCATTGGTCATTACTCTGGATTCCGGATGTCCGGCATAGGAGGCGGGGTGAAGTCCGCCCGGGAGGGAAACTAGGTTTTACGTAGCGGGACCGGGGTTAGTATAAATTGCATAACGCGGCGCGGCAGGGAGCGGCCGACGGAAGCTTCTCGAAGCTCCGCGACTCGCTGCGCCGCTCTTCCGCTAGACTGTTGCAGCGGCTCGCGGGCCGCCACTCGCTGCACCTGCCGCCCGACGTAGACCCGGAGAGGTAAAGCCATCTGTTGTCTGCTCTATTGAAGTTATGCTTCTTTGAGCGCCATCTGTTGTCTGCTCTATTGAAGTTATGCCTCTTTGAGCGCCATCTGTTGTCCGCTTTTTTAAAAGTTGTACCTCTTTTGGCGCGTTTGGGAAAACCAGAAAATTTCACGGTGTTACCATGGCGATCGATAATGACTTGGACATTTATGACGAGTTGTTTAGTTAAACCGTTTCAATTTAATGGCTGTTTTGTTTATATAAAAAAGAACACCAAATATAATTTTTAGTTATGTTACGCTAAAGAAGTATAACTTCTCAGGTGCGTTTTTTATCTACAGTTTTCTCTCGTGCCAGTGACATTTTTTTTGTAAATTACACCGATTGAAGTGCACGCTTTATAAGTATTTATGTTTTTTTTTTATTTTTTTTGTTTTCAAATTGGTTTTAGTATTGATAACACAACTCGTAACATTTGGTGAATTTTATTTCGCGATATAATAACCCATAAACTAATAATGCACACCAACATTCCTAAATTGTAACGTCATGTCTACATTAACAGTAACAATAATGTTATCAAATATATAGTCAGTCTTCAAATATTATATTAATTGAAATTTAATACAAATATTGTAGTGCCTTTGAAGCTTTTCTAGAATATTATAGTGGTACAAATATACTAGGCTATTAATTATATAACAATATCATTTAGTGTCGAGTACATTTTCGGTGCACGAGATTTGAAGTCTCTTTGAACTGCGTTGTTTATTTACAACAGCGGCTAAAATGAAAGATATAATGTTGCAAAATATATATTCGATTGTTTAGAGAAATTATTTAAAGCAGGCCACCTTACTGTAAAAACTCTCAACCCGAGGACGATTACTACGCCTGCATAATTTAAAATAACAATATAATATCAAAAATTTAGATCAAAACGTACTCGGATCGAGTTTGACAATGAAGGAGAGAAGTAAGTAAATGTCATAAAAAGGGAGAATTATCTGATTTCGATCACGTATTGTCATAAGAACATATTTCCATCTAGCATGAAGCGCGCAAGGTCGCTGTCCGAGCTCAGTAAGGAGTCAGCCGGCGTCAGGAACGAACCGCCGGGAGCTTTAAGGCCGTAGCCAAACTTCAGAAACAGGAGCAGACTTCTTCTGTACGTCTCGCTGACGTTTGTTCGAATCGTGTCATTCTAATGATAAACACAATTCAAAGTCAAACGCTCGGCTTCTGACAAACTGATCATCGTAGAAATTAACTAATCAGCTGTCAAATGTCATTTAAGTTGCAAACTCTTTGAAAGTTGCCAAAAGGTTATATGGATAAACTTAGAATGATGATGGTTAATCATTCTGATCAATTCTAAGTTTAACCATCCTTCAATGAATAAATCAAAGAGTTTGCAACTCAAATGACATTTGAAAAGCCATTTGACAGCTGATTAGTTAATTTCTATGACGATTAGTGTTTCAGAAACCGGGCGTAAGTATAATGAAATATCCATATTAAATATAATTTTCACCGTACATTTAGTTTTACACGTAAATAATTGTAACGTACCTCGTTACGAGAGCTTTAGTAGTCGTGGTGTGCGTTCGTGTGCTAGAAAGCGCCACTTTTTGTCAACGATCGCTTTATTTTAAGAATTTTTTGAAAAGAATTGCCAGTCCTTTTTGCAAATTTAAAAATAGTATTTTTTATAGCCGTAAAAAGGCGGAGAAAAATAAAAAAATAAAGTGATGCGAAAGAGACGTGTTTTTGGTTTTGTTTCTATTCTAGATGAGAACTTGAATGTATAAAAATCGCAATGTTTTCTAAAGCTTATTGATTTTAATTAGGTTTAGGTTTTTAATTAATAAATGACGTCAAATAATACGCTAACAAATGTATGTTTAAGCAAAAAAAATGCCACTTGCCTTGTCGATAGCTCTAAAGCTAGCTTAACTAAAGGTGAATTAATATTAAGTTCATTAACTTAAAATTACATAAAAATATAGAAAATTATTTTATGAAACGTCTAACTTAGGTTTTCAATTATTGTATCAACATTATTTAAACGTCGAACAAAACAATACATGTTTTTGTCTTGGAAAACGGATGCATATATATATTGTTTGAGTGCTTTTCAACGCTTTTGTTATTAAGGTTATTTTAATTAGCACTAATTTATTAAGTATCTGTAAGTTTCGTAATTTAAAATAATTTGATCACAGAACATAAAATACATTGTATTATTTCAAATAAAGTTTTTATAAGGAGAATTGTTGTTTTATTTCAGCGATCCCGATTGAATGTTTCAAGTACCAGATGTTTAATTAGATTTTGCATGATGCTATCTTCCGTGCACTATTTTCATATAAAGTAATGTCAAAAATATAAAAATAAAGTAAGCCTGTATTTATGTCCCACTGCTGGGCAAACAAAGAAATTTACCCTAACGCGAAATTTTACAATATCTTCTAACCTCTTACCGCTGTAAAGTGCAAAGGATACTGAGATCTGCTTCAAGACAACGTTTGGAGACGAGTACAGGAATGACGAAACAGTGTCCGAAATTATGCATGACCGATATACATATAATGAAGTGACGGGTGATAAATAAGGCGGGATTTGACTTTAATCGCATCTGCTGGAGTCATCAGCGCATGCGCGAAAGGAGAGGGCGTAGGGTTGCCCCATTATGAATATTAATATTGAATCATCGATTAAAGATTTATTTTTAATTTATTAACATACACCATGTTATGGTCATGTACACGTAGATGCGGGAGAGGTTAAATTAGAAAAGTCCGAGTGTCATATTCATGCTTTTTTGTTGATGTATCATTGGATTCTTTGAAACGGGACTGCGCTGCGTCACAATTTTATAACCCTAAAGCGTTGTCATGTTACAAACAGGGATGACTTTTTATCATAGACCGTGATGATATGCTCGTTGTTGGTAATGTCATGGATAATTATTAGATGATTATTCTTGCTTTGAAGAAGCGATATTATAAAAGCTAGTGTTTATAATATAATACTATTTGAATCTCTTATCGAGGTTATTTTACTCCGAAATATGTTAGTCACTAGGCAGCCTTTATTGATTGATTTTAATTTTTTTTAAATTAATTGACCTACATTGATTATAAATTTTATGCCACTGATTTTGTCTCCATTATTTTTCATCGTTATTCTGTCCTGAATCTGTGGTAATGTTTGACATTATTTTTTCTCTAGCTGTTATCGTTATTGGCTACATTTTTTACGACCGGCCGGCTGCCTGACGCTAACCCTCCTAGGGAAAATGTTAAGAGAATATATAATGTCAAATTGAATGATGATTAAAACAATCAAATAATTTTAGGGCAGTAATCCAGGAAACCTGAAAAAAAAAAAACAATTTGAAAACTTCTATTAATATATTAAACAATGTAGGAGTATACATAACGTTGATTCTGAAATTCTGTGAGTTTCCTTAATTGCACTTGAAAAAGTTATAATTAAAATAAAGCAGAAGTAAAAAGATACAAAAATTTAAAAACTGCAAAGGAAATTTCCTTAATTCATATTAATCATTCATCCTTACATAAATTTGCTTATATGAATTTTCTTATAGTTTCTGCTCACAGGGTTGACTGGAGAAGAATACTTATTACCATTAAGTTTACCTTTTGTTTAGCCTTAAGTTGAGGTGTAAACAATAAATTTTTAAATAAAATTAAATAAATAAATAAATATGAAAAAACCATAGCAGCCATGTACAAAAGCTCTGCCCGTATTTTATTTGTGTAACCTAGTACCAACGTTCAAAATTCAATTTCGAAATTATTCAACCCTATTCCAGTTCTTCACAAACCGAAACTCTCCACTCACAATTAATAATCGTATAATTAGGCGTTTCGAGTCTCACAACGTTGACGTAATTTTTAGTTTGGATACCCAAACATAATCATAAAAATTAAAAGAGCATAATTTTTTCTATCAACAACTTTTCAAAAATAAAAAAGTTCCATCAGCCTGCTCAAGACTTTCAATAATTAAAAATGTATTTACTTTACTGTCCATTGACGATTTCTAATTATTAATCTATTTAAAAATATCACCATTATTTTCAAGACTAAAAAAGTTTTCAATTTTGATAAGGAGCTTTTTAAATATGTATATGTACCTAGATATTTCGACATACGCCCTACTCCGCAAAGTATACTTTGAGACAGTTTACCACAAATAATGAAAATCAAATCACAAAATAAAAATAAAGATAACTCTAAACTGTAATACTAAAAAATCACTAAGTTAACAAACATACTTAGCTCGGTAGAGAATCGAATACCCAACCAACTGCGCTCCAGCCAAAAGATTCACGCAGAACAAATCATCCCTACGATAGGTTATTTATATTCATAATACAGATAAATAAAGGGCCGTGAACCAGAAGACATCGGGCCATCGACACTTGCGGGCGTTAAAAAAGCAGAGGAAAGTCAAAAAATGTTCTTCGTTGTTCATTTAGGCAGCTGCCTAAACACCGCTCCTAACGCTGAGTAGCACATGAGTTTAAGTATGTAACAAAATAGAAATGTATATGTATAATATTATTACAGGATTCGTTACAATAACAGAAATAGGTGCGAGTAATGTCCTAATATGAAATGAGTATGTAATAAAAATTGTAACAGATCGCAAAACAGACAAATATTATAAAACAATTGGTACCAATCTCAGTTAATCAAATTTAGTGTATCTGTATACTAAGAAGCCAATGATTATGTTCTCTAATATAACTAGGTTTCACGCGAATATTGCAAAATAATCAGTTAGTTTTTCAGTTAAAGTTTTTTGTTCAATATATTTTTGCTTTACAGAAAGCAGATGACATCCAAATTTTGAGTTTATTTTGATTATCTACCTATGCATAAGTATGATTTATAGATAAATTAACGATGAGTATGATTTCTTGATTGAAGTAAACACAATTGTTGACAGCAACACGCTAATCCGTCTAACTAGGGCAGTAGGATTGAGTAGGATGTCTGACACCTCATGAAAAAGACTCCTCCTACGAGAAAACGTTTAATTTAATAATGTGCATTATTTACATAAATACAAGAAAAGATTTCGGTGCCTACTACACAATATACCTACAGCGTCAGAAACAACGTAGTTTCTTTGCATCAGTATCCTTTATGACGTCAATTCTGTTCTTTAACATTACATAAAAGTAAACATTCTTATGGAGATTACTAAGCCGTTATAAAGATAAGACTTCTTGGACCCGACATGGACGACAAAAAACATCCAAATTTCGCAAACACGCTATTCGAGTAATTGATACGGTCTAGCTTTAGATGACTTCGTGGCGCAGTTGCCAAGGTATTGGCTTCGACGTCGGGGGTCGTGGATTCGATCCCCACACGGGACAACTATTTGTGTGACACACAGATAGTTGTTTCGTATCTGGGTGTTTATCCGCGTGAAATTTATGTTTGTAAAAACGTCCTCACAACACAGGATAATGTTATCCTAAAGTAAGGGCATTGTTTTTCAATTCAAAAAGAAAAAAGAAGCTTTAATCTGTACTCGACACATGTAAAGTAAAAAAGTAACAGCCTATAAATGGCCCACTGCTGGGCAAAGGCCTCCTCTATCAGGGTATTAGAGCATAGTCCACCACGCGGCCCCACTGCGGTTTGGGGGACTTCACATATCTTCGAAAAATATATATCTTTTTTTATTATTATTTCGAAAATATGCAGGTTTCCTCACTATGTTTTCCGTCACCGCGGAGCACGTGATAAGTCAGCACTTAAAGTTAAAAACTTCATTGGTGCCGGCATCGGGGATCGAACTCAGATTGCTCGAGTATATTGAATTAAAGGCGAGCGCCCGGACACTGAGTTATCACGGCTACTACTACTATCACTGCTACACGTGTAAACAAAAGTATTTTCTTGGAAGAAGTTCGACACATATTAAGCACTTTAAGTAAGCAATACAGCACTTTATTAATGACGTAAATCCCACATGCCAGCTAGTCGTTCAAGGTACTGACTTAACGGTAATTGCCAGTTAACCGCTAATTGAAGTTTGTGAGTACGACGCTAGCGTCATTTGAACTCCTTTAGTTCACTTAAAAAAACATTTTTGGTTGCTTTTCAATGATTTTTTGATTTAGTTCAAACTATTCAATGCTGTTTAGCCAGGTAAATCTTTAATAACGAGTAACGACACTAACGCCCGGTTTCTGAAACAGTGATCATCTATATATATCACTAATTAGTTAATTTCTACTATGATCAGTGTTTCAGAAACCGGGCGTAAATAGGAAATGATTTAACGAGCATCTTGTTCTGTCCGTTGAGAGAACACACAAACAACACGTCAGTGCGTGCTTGCAGATGCCGAGGAAGCGATACTACGTTTTAATAGACCGTCCATCCGAGCTTCTAACCTACGCGCCGACTCATAAGACGATTTCCTATTACTTCTGTGCAGGCTCAACTGCACGTAACGCAATAGAAACTGGGCTATACATTTCTACGCACTTGATTCTCTGCATAGGCGTGTTCAAGGTTTATAACAGCATTTGTTATGAAGAAAATTGTACAAAGCTTGATTGTGTTGACATTAACAGGTATCCAAAAATTGTTATTGTTTTAAATCTTTTAATAGGACGATTGATAAGTGATTAGTAACAGGATATATATATTTAGATATTTGCAGTACGCATGACACGGTAAGTGGTATTTTATTTTTGTTTTACATTATTAATTTATCTTACAAGATAAATTAATATATACACACATACTACTCTTTTTCTAATTTAATGTAACATTTTAAGTGCAGAGATTAGCAATATAATTTTTTTTATTTCTAATAGCAAAAACGACATCTCTCGTTGAAAGTTGAATCGTTGTAAAACGATATTCGACATTTTTTGTATGCTGTAAAGGATATAACAATAAATGCGCAGTGTGGCGATCTATATAAAGACCCTCGCCAATGCAGAAAGATGGGGCAAATATCCCTTTATGGCCAACCGCTCCCATGGGAGAAAAAGGTCAAATACTTTCGACTCGCTTATGTCATTTATTACGCACATTAATAACGTTCGTAATAGAGCCGCGTTCGTCTCTGGCCGGCTACACAAGTTAACCAAAAAAAGTAAAATGCCCTTAAGGCACAATTTATTATTATATATATATATATATATATATATATATATATATATATATAAGACCTGCGTACGACCTATTATGTTCGACATTCGCCCACACGCACCATCCTCGCTTGCACAAGTTGCAAATCGTTCAAAATAAGTTCGTCCGCCGCGCAACCGGTGCGCAATTGTAGCAACGCAACGTCGACCCGCACAGTGACTGCAGACTCCCGACTATTCGCGAATATTTTAAAGATCTCACCAAACGGTTCTTCGACAGAGCCGAACATCATCCCAACCCTCTGGTGGTAAGCGCAGCAAATTACCAACCCGACATTAACGCGAACGTCAACAAGCGTCGCCCGCGCAACGTCCTCATCGACCCGGTGGAGGAAGGGGAAGGGGACGTACGTCGGATCCACCGTCGGGGATCCCGCCTAATAACACTACACACAGTTAGTGCATCAACAAACACCATACTTCGTACTCGCCTTCGAGCACGGCGAAAGCAACTCAACGTGTACACTAGGTACACCCGCGTTCCAGGGCGCCCCCTGCCACCGACTAACCAAGCACAGACAACGGCCAACGGGGTCACGCTCCGCACCGAACCTCCGTCCGTCCGTCCGGGTAGGACGGACCTGCCCATCCGTGCAACAGTGACTACCATTTTGTGGTCCTACCGCAGTTAAATAGATACCAGATACCTTAAGTACGAATCACGAAATAAACGTTTGAATAAGGCATAATATATTGAATAATAATAATTCGGGTAAGGAGTTAAAATTGCATAAAACTTATTTTAAAATACTAATTAAATGTCGCTTAATAATCACGAGTCGCAATTAATTACGACGTCTATACTTTAATTTCCATGCCCATCTTAGCGATTGTTTACACGGCAAGGTCAGTTTTGTATCCCGCCATCAAATCACTCGACGGCTTCTATATCAGCGGACCGTGAGAATTAGGGGCGCCCTCCCTCGGGATTTCGCTAAACATCCCATCTGTCGATAAACATCTCATTAGGTTCCCGCTTTCACACTTAAATCATTTGATTACTGTTGTAATTGCATAATCGATTACATTCCAACGAAACAAATTACTGACGAAGAAGTTACAGTCGTATTTTAGATGAATTTTATGTCTTTTTGGATGTTTTCTGTTTATGAATTATCAACATACGAATAAAAGAACTTTCTCAGTCAAATTGGCGACTGAAAATCTGAAAATGAGACGGAGTGTATTAAAACTTTGGAATAAGTCATTGCCTTTCTCGCGTTATTGTTTATGTCATTTACTGGTTATTATTAAAATCAGTGGCGTAGCTAATAAAAGTGCCATAGACGTTGGCGAAATCAGTTTTCCATGTCTTTATGTATTATCGAAAGTTATATATTGTGATAACTTTATAAGAATGAGTTAATATTTATGCGTGATTTAATGTCATTAATTTATCTGTAATTGGCTATATTGTTCTCAAGTGACACGTGGTTCATCGGGCTCCTTAAACAGATTTACAGATAGATTGTCTTTAGTTACTAAGTTTTACAATTTTATATGTACGTAACATATAAAATTGTGTAAACGGGAAAAGTCTATCCATATGCATATATGTGACTGTTGTAATGTAAGTTAAGACATTAACAAGAGATGAATTAATATAGCGTCAGTTAATTAATCAAGCTCCCCAAATGATATTAAGCTCCACCCATGAGAAAAGCCCCGCCCAATACTGCGTCGGCGCATTGGACTACTTGCCTGAATTCAGTCGTATCTGAACGATACTCGAGAAGACAATACAACGTTCTACAAGAGACAGTTTGAAACCGATTTCGAAACAACTCCCTCAAAAGATATAAGCAATACAAAGCAAGCAATATAAATATTAACTGTTAAAACAGAATGAATTTTTAAATGTATTATGAAGTTCTTAAAACAAAAAAGTGGAATAGAAAAACTAAGATGGACTTCATTAAGGCGAACTTCTACGTACAAAACGAGGAAATTGAGGGTGTAGGAGACGTGGGAGCGGCTGGTTTTGGATCGACAGTCTACCAAGATACAAGCACGTACAATCAGGAGTTCTTGCCAGGTTATGTGCCATTGTTCTACGAGTTTAGGGGCGAGAGGGAGACTTTCGAAGCTCAGGAGGTGCCGGAGGCGTGGGACTGGAGACAATGGGAGAGCCAAGTGTGCGTGAAACAGGAGAACGGAGTCGAAAATGGCGCCGTGTCCAGCGTAAGCGAGGAAGGTTTGTAGAATGATGTGTTTCATATAAAGTAATTGTTCATAAAAAGACCATGTATGCTGATTGCATTAAGCCCGCCTCTGTACATATTTTGTGTGCATAAAGTATATCTAAATAAAAAGTGTGGAAACGGTACATCCCTAATGTAGGTAATATTTATAGGATCAGTTGCCCTATTAGTTCTTTTAAATTTATTTTTTTAAGTGAGAAGGTGGCAAACGAGCCGGCGGATCACCTGATGTTAAGTGATAACCGCCGCCCAATTCACTGACGTTTGCAACACCTGTAGGTTTGCAGATACATTGCCACGTTTTTATTAAGTAGGCTACCTCGCTTGCCGAACGAAACGCAGAAGTGTAACACTTGCATATCATGCCGGTCTTCTGTGGAGTCGAGGTACGTACCCGGACGGACCTGCCCATTCGTGCAACTACGAAGAAGAGTTGCGTGGCCCTATCTCAAAAAAAATAGTAATTAATTTTTGTAATAGGAATAAATATTTCATATAAAAAACAGGTTACTATTAAAAAAGAAATATATTTATCACCTGAAAATTAACTACTTTAGCTTAATTATTATTCGTATTAGCTATCAAAATTCATAATAATAAATAGATTTCATTTTACCCCGGCTATGGCAGAAGAAGGATACACTGATAAATTATTTGTATGAAAACAAATATAAATAAAAAGAGTAAATGACTGAATAAATATTTCGGGACATATTTTTACACAACGTTATCTAGTCCCAAAATAAGCAAAGTTTTTACTTTGGGTACCAGGTAACTGATAAAAAATACTAAAACGTACTTATCTTTTCGATATATTAGATACTAGAAAAACGCTATATGTTCATCACACGAGATTTTTTTAGCCCACACAATTTATTTTTTGAAAAACATCAGTTCATATTTTCTTATTATTACGTCGGTAAGATCGAAAAATATTATGCATATTTCATTACTCAGTAATTTGTGTCTAAATATAATTTCCAAAATACACGATTTACCAAAAAAAAAAAAAACAAACCGAGCAAAGCTCGGTCCTCCGGGTACTAACAGATTAAAAGGTGATGAGTAGCATTACCTAGGTATTTTACTACCGCCTTCCTGACATGAACCATTCTTGGGAACAAACTTATCTTGGGATAAAAATATCAGGACATCTTTTCCCATGTAGGAATTAATTCATTACATCGTACATAAAAAAAATAGAAAATAATCGAAGTATAAAATATAAAAATATATAATATATAAAAATACCTTAAAAATTTTGTGATATTTGCTACTGAATTTTTTAAAAAAGGCAATAACGTACCAGTATCGTGTGTTAGGTAGATTTTAAATAAATGAATATTGCAAAGTCCGTGTAGAAAACATAGAAGATAGAAAAGAAATATTCATAATAAAGGCAGTGGTAAGTTGTAAAGAAAAGACAATGAAGGCGGGAAAGTTAGTCTGAAATTTATCCACAGTTAACACAACCCTAATAAAAACTATAAATGTCCCACTGCTGGGCAAAGGCCTCCTCTGTACAGAAGGTATTAGGGCTTAGTCCACCACGCAACCCCACTGCGGGTTAGCAGACTTCACATACCATCGAAATATTTTTTTGTTATTATTGATGAGATTCACATGTTTTTTTTTTAAATGTTTAAGGACATTTATATTTTGGAGTGCTAAGAAAGTACGCGCTTTATAAGTATAAATAAAACATCTTTGAAGTTGCATCTCTCCTCGTGATAAATCAGCACTTAAAATTAACAATTTCATTGGTTTCACCGAGGATCGAACTCAAGTTGCTTGAGTATATTAAATTAAAAGCGCCCGTACTTTGAGCAATCACGGCTCTGAAAAAAGTTGTAATGTACAAATCAACATTTAGTGTTAATAAAAATATTATGATATTTATATAAGTGATAACAAATTCATTGGGCGAATAATAGAAGCTCGCACAAAAAACAGACAAGGACGTGATTACAGGTAGAAGACAATTAATTATCTGTAGTTTTATCCATAAACGTAGTGGTTATATTCTCTTTGATTTTATCAAGTGGGAGTTAATACGTGATCAGCGACGTTGGCAACTTGCATCTGCGCTACCGAGCCATCAACATAAACATTGGTTTCCTTTATTGATTGACACGTGAACAATAAAACTCCAATAAACCCCACCTGCAATAGGAAGGCTATAAAACTGCGTACAATTCCGGCGCCGGCGCCACGCATGTGCAAGTCTTTAACTTACCTTGGCTCCGTCATAGTGGAAGCTACAGCTAATGACTAGCGGAAATTTTTTCTTTAATATTTTCTCCTTTTATGTTCAGTTATAATTTACCAATATAATATTTACAAGATGTAATCTATCTAAAATTACATATTATCTAATAAATCTAATTCACGCGGCATGGTGCCAAGAACGCTAGCTGCATTTCCTCGCTGAATAGTTATGCTTAACCTTTGAGCGAGAAGAGAACCAGCTCTCTTGTCACCTGCCGCGGAATTAAGCCTAGGACATAAACTTTAAAAAAAATGTGATGTGCGGGGACCCCACTTTTAACTTGATTATAAGATATTATCTTAATGATATTTTATGAATTTCTTCTTCTATCTTGACTGTGCTAGGGCAGCAGCCTCAGCTGTTACACGAATGGCCAGGCTCGTCCGGGTAAGTACCACGACCTCACAGAAGACCGGCGTGAAGTGGAAGTATAATACTTTCGCATTACGTCTGGTGAGTGAGGTGGCCGGAGCCCAATTTTCAAAAGGTTGTCAACACATCTGCAACCCTCTCGTGTAGCAGATGTCCATGGACGGCGGTATTCACTTAACAGGTGAACCGCCTGCTCGCATGGCACCTATTCACTTAAAAAAAGGACTCGATGTCTGTCGACTAAAACTTAAATAATTTAATTTACTATAGTGAATCTTAAGTACGCGGTAATATTGTTTGACATGGTTTGACATTGCCGTCCGTCTCAACAGCAGAGGTGCGTTCTACGACCAGTCGGAAGGAGCGCACCGCTTTCACGAAAGCTCAGATACGAAGCCTCGAGGCGGAATTCTCAAGGGCGAATTACCTGACGCGCCTACGTCGCTACGAGATCGCGGTGGCCCTTCACCTCACCGAGAGACAGGTAACGTCCATAAATCTTTTACTATTCAACCTGTTCTACTTTGGAACTCCTTGCTTCAGTACATTGAAACGCAACGAGTAAAGTATGATTTAAGATAATGCTGCGATGTCACTGTGCTAGTGTTGGCGATAGTTAGAGTCACCAAAGTTATGTAAGAATCTGCATACATATACATACATTACATATATATTGAATTCGGCATTATGTTTTGAAATTTGACGTAGGTGCACGACGTAAAATTTTCACTACTCCCAGGGTTGACTGGCAGAGAACGCTTATTAGCATTAAGTTTGCCTTATGTTAGGGTGTAAACAGTATAAATAACAGCCTGTCTCTAACTCACTGGACAAAACTATTCTATATACAAAGGCCACATCCAGTCAAAACCTCGATACAGCGCTGATTCTCAGTGCGGTTGAATTCTGGCGCTGCATAATGCTGAGCTACAGACCTAATTTACCGGTAATAGGGTGTACAATTAATTATTTCCGTTAAAACTTAATTTATTATTATTGGTTTGTTTTTATATTACAGCATAGTTAAATATTTAAAATAAAAAACATAGTTAAATTTGAATTTTGTTTAATGTGAGAAGGTGGCAACCGAGCTAGCGGTTCACCTAATGTTAAGTGATAGCCGCTGACCATGGGCATTTGCAACACTCGTAGATTGGCAGTTGTCACCTTAAACTAAAGTGGGTCCCGGCCACCTCACTCATCAGACGAAACGCATAAGTATAACACTTTCACCTTACGTCGGTCTTCTGTAAGGTCTTGTTACTTACTCGGATGGACCACGATACTAGGTATATGATATGACCTGGTCGGGTTTCCTAATTTTATAATGTAGTGGATTAAATAAGACACCGCCTAGTACTGTCGTATATTATGAATACAGTTGGGTTTTTATCTAAATGCTTTCACAGGTGAAGGTGTGGTTCCAGAACAGGCGTATGAAATGGAAGAGAACCAAAGGTGCTACCAAACACGCCAAGAAAAAAGATTAGATTTGAAGTTTATAAGAAATTATTATTAATCATTTGGTGTATTCTATGACCAGAAAAGAAGAAATTAGTCTTTCTCTTCTTAACATTAATTTCATTCTTCACTGATGCTCCAATTGATTAATAGAACAGCGAATTTTATGGGGTTTTGCAACATGTGAAATCATTATTTTTCTGGTCAGACTATAACTCCTCGCATTCCTATTGATTTGTCAAAAGTATTAACTATGTAGAGTACCAAATATGTATTCTTGTGTAAACTGTAAGAAGCTTAAAAAGTGTTTTCATGTTACTTTAACATTTGTATAGTGGTTTAATTTTATTGGATACTGGCTTATGATGCGACTTAGTCCACGTGACGTTAGATATTATAATGAAAATTTAAGTGTCATTGAATATTCCTTATATTATAATGTATCCCAGCAAGATAACGAAATGTCAATTTCACAAAATGCCCTTCATCCGTTTCCGTTCACTCAAGACAAACTTACAAACAGAAAGTCAATAAGCGGTTAAAAAGCGTATGTTTTATAATTGTTACCTAGATATTTATTCATGTTTAAATCATAGACATTATTTCGCGCCAAACTTAATGACGATTGGGAAATATGTCGTCTTTTTCTCTTTCGCAGTAGCGATTATTTATTACAAATTAGTACATTCGCGTGCTTCTGCTAAAGTTGTTATTATTTTTGCTTTCTACAGTTAAACTCTGTCTTATTGTTCCTTGTTAATTTTTCTTTGACAAAACTTTTTCTGCAAATCTAATTTAACTATTTTTATTTGTATTCTAATTTTATAAGGCTCAACGCTATTATATTTAAATTTTAAAATTATAATTTTTTTATTGTTTTATTTTTATTACGCTAATAAATTTTGAATTCAAATAACATCTTAAATGAATATTAACCATTATTCCATTTTAAACACAAACATAACCGTATTAGTGCTTCTTTTTAAAAAAATATTGAGCTTTAGGGTAAGCCAAGAAATATAGGTTGGTAGTAAATAGAACATTGGATTATCATATTGTGATAATCTACATAATTGCCGAGTTGAATATATGAACTGGACTTCTTCTTGCGAAAGGCTTCTCTTGCAGCTTACTTCAAAGCCGACATTAAGGCGTGGTATTTGCCTATTAAAATTTTATTATAAGTATAGAATAAATATAGATGAATTAATAAAAATTAAAATAAGTTTATATTCTCTTTTAATGTTCAAATATATTTATAATAGAATTATTTTATGTAAAAAAAAGTAAAATATCAGTAGTGAATATAGTAAATGTGTGAAATACTTTTTTTTTCATTTGCTTACCCTTTTACTGAACCTGTCTTATGTGCAAATGATCAAATAAAGCTTAAAATTACGTCGAATTGAATCGACGATAACTTTTAATGTGGTCTCAAGCCAGAGTCCCATCCTTTCAATCAGGAATATAGTCAAACATTAAACTGGGTAATAAGTTTGTGAGGTATATGTAGAAGTACCTTATTCTTGCCTAAAACAATGGCTATACTCGTAATTAACAATAAAACTCCTCTACTGCAGTTTTTTTATGGAGAATAGGGGCAAAAAAGGGGGATTTGAGTGTGATCCTAGAAGTCCATATTCGGTTTACCCCCCCCCCACCCCCCCCCCCCCCCCCCCCCCCCCCCCACCCCCCCCCCCCCCCCCCCCCCCCCCCCCCCCCCCCCCCCCCCCCCCCCCCCCCAGAGGAAGCAGTAACAGAATCTAGAAGTACATGATTTATTCGAAAATTGATATCTGTTCGAGTATGAACATGTAAAAATTGTAAGCAAATAGTGACTTAGTGTCCGGGTCCGGCGTATGAAAACTGCCAGTGCATGTTTTATTTTCACATATCTAATTAATATGAAATCTACTTCCCGCGCAGACGTAAGACATTTTTTGTTGCCAGCTGCTCCCACTAGACAGATGGATCGCCGATTTAAAATAATTTGGTGTAGATATATCTGCAAATCGAGTCTCCACTTGACGACAAAAGCAATATTAACAAATTTTACAATTTGTCCGGCGCTGCGCATACGGTTATGTTTGCGATATAAGCCAGGCCCGTCAACGTCGACATAACAATTAACAAGCAAATTTAATGTTACTTCATCGACATCCGTCATGAAACTATTAAATAATTTGAGGAAAAAAAAAAACGCGCTTAAGAAGTTACATTTTTTTAGTTTAATAAAACAAAAATAACTAAAAATATTATTAGCCTCTGTGTCAGTACTCTTTGTGAAAGACATTAGATGCAATTGATACATAATTGTTTAATTAAATAACTTGGAATTTTAGGTAAATGCCAAAGTTGTTATTCGTTGCCATTGTAATGCCGTGCATTTGGTTGGTGGATACAACTACGATTTCCTGTAATGTGGTATCCCTGTCAGTTACAAAATATCGAAAAAAGCATTTTGAAAGAATCGTTATTTTCAGTACAAACGAAAAGTATGAGTTATATACTTGTTTGTACTGAAAATAAACGGGAACGAAATTCTATAAACCTGTATCCGTTGTTTCAGGAAAAGCAAAGTTTATAACACTCAACTTTATAATTCAGGGCTGTAATTTCTTCACTCTGGAAACAGTAGGGTTGAACAATAAAAATTCATATCAAGAGATAAGGATATGTTTATTAGACAAATTTATACCTCGGACACGTGTCAGGCGCGTGTCGCGCGTTAAACTAAAAGATAATATTGTAGGTAAACTAACACGCTATCTTTGGAAGAAACTGAACATTCGGGCTATGGGGGCCTACTGTACGCGGTTGTGATTGACCATCGACGGATTAAAAAAAAATGTAAACAACTTCCTCATGATGCTTCCAAATACCTAAAATACGTTATAACAATTTTTATTCAAGCGCTAAGGCGTTGATTTCCATAACGCATCCGACGAAACGAGCCATCGTAAAATGAACCCTCGCGCGCACACATAGGGCGCACTCTCCATTACCTATCACACACGCCTGATCGGCATTTCAACGTAACATGTTACACGCTAAGTATTACCGTCAAAAACTCTCGATATAACAAATATATAAATCGCTTTACAAAAATAGCGGCGTACATACCTCTCCATGACATTAGGCAGCTCTTTTTATTATTGACTTTAGAATAATAAGCGTATTTCAATAAGATAGATACGTGTAGTTTCACAAAGTGGAGTTTGGGGTTGGGTGCATTGACCTCTTGGTCACATCACAAATGGAGCGAGAGTCAGAGCCCATCTTTAGGAAACCGTTTTACGGAGGTCTCTCAGATAATGCGCAACGTATAATTAAAATTCAGATGCTTCACAAAATTACTAAACTGTTAAATTTGTTTTAAAACATTTCATATAAGAGGTTTTTACAGAAACATTTATATTGGATCCTGAAAGTGAAACATCTAAAAAAATTGCATTTTAAAAACCTAACCTCACAAGGTGCTCCGGTATTAAAACAAAATGAAAGATCTTAACAGATTCACCAACAACTAATATGAACAATAATAAATTAAAGTGCCAAGCAAATTCACAGCACACATTTCTCGAGTACTTTACAGTAATAGTTCATTTTCTACTCAAACCGCAATTAAGAATCAAACCTTAGTAGATTGATTCGAACTTGAGTCCAATACCAGTACATATGTCACATCATTTTGCTTGCTTTTGGTTTGTGCAATAGTCCAAGACAAGTAAGGTCACTAAATTATCTAATGGCTTTAGAGCACTGATATGTCCTGAGCAACTGACAAAGATATTGTGGTATCCTTATAACAGATACAATAACAAGTTAGATTTCTTACATTTTGTCACTATTCCATTCATAGCCCCAAATAGGACATGGTACCATGACAGTTAACCTAATCGCAATCCGAACCGTCAACTATAACCAGGGTCCGATGCCCATTCGAGTTCAATCGAAGACCGAATGGAAACAATTTCCTTAAACACTCCATACTCACATATAAAGTATATATACACGAGTTATTGCGAGACAGCTGGTGCGACATGGGAAGCAACGCCTTAACTCAATACAGTTTTCTGTACATTCTAAAAGTTAACATTGGACCATCTTACGATTATTGGACCAAATAAAATACTAGTAATTCTCAACAATAGATATATATGTAAACGTTTCAACTTTTCTCAACCATGAGCTTTGTTATATAAAAGTCGCGGAAACTCTTTTGTCTCAACTTAGTGGCATATGTACAGTGGTGAAAGGAATTTACAGATGTTATGTATGGGCAGGCACTCGTAGAATCACTCATTTTTTTATTTGTTTGTTTGTTTTTTCATAGACAACAGACGCAGAGATATTTTTGGTCTGGTGTTGTTTTGTTAAAAAAAATAACGGCTCTCTATTGCATACATTTCTAATGAAAATATAAATATTATTTCTATAAGAGAATTATATTAACGAATATCATATGAATTTGTGTAAAAACCCTTCACAATTATCTACTATCACTTATAATATCTCTACGTCCCGTAATATACAAATTTGTTTTTTTTGGGTGTGTGAATTATTCATTAAAAATAGTAAAGTTAAAGTGTGTAGGGCTTATAATATACATTCTTTTGCTGTATCCATTTGGCAATATTATCGATTTATATTCGCCCTTAGGCTTAAAAGGCTTTTTAAATAAATACAATGGAATAGGTTTCCCTTAAGTTGTTCGCCTTGCGCGTATGAATAAGCGTTTTACGATTAATATATAGTAATTATGTATATAAATGATTTCAGAAACTAATTGGGCAGTTGTCGTATGGTGTTAGTATTGTCTGTGGGCCACATTTTTGGTAGGGTACCGTGCATTACACCTAACGTATGTGAATTAGTTTCTATGAAACGTTGTTACATAATGGAAAAATATGCTCTAGTGATATAATTACGCTATACAATCTTAGGAAGGTATTTCATCGTCCAAAAACGTGTCATCTTCACATCACATCAGTGTTCCATCACTCGTTGCTCTCACAAAATTGTCTATGTCTCGAGGCAAACACAATTCCACCTTTCGAATAAAAACAAGACAGCGTACCAAACGTTCGCCTTGTATTACACTAATTAAAAATAAAAATAAAAACAAATTAAATATCATCGGGGAAAAATCCATCCTATATACAATGAAGTTATCAGTGTTCACGCAAATGATACGATATTGAACGATAAATTATAAATGCAACGTAAATTTTACCTGACTAGAGAATTTTGAATGTAAACTTATTGTTATGCTAAGAAACCTTCACTTTTCAAATTTACATAAACTATTGCATTTAGTCGACGTAATCCAATTGTAAAACAGTGTCTTTTTTGGTTACATTTTAATTAATGGCTCTATGCAAATTATCCACCATTATCATATATTTTGAGTAAAGTATTAGTAAAGTACTATTGCTTTTATGGAATAATTGTGTAAGTTCGAGTATAAAAATATTTTATTTTCTATATGCGTGCGCAATATAATCCATACGAATGATATGTGGAAATTAAACACACAGCAAAAGAATTAAAGTTCCTTCGCAAATACATCAAAAATTGTGATGAGTTATATAGGCAGTAACGGAATTGTTCCAGCGACGATCGCATCATTTGCGCAAATGTACAACGCGAGGAAGAGACGTAGAGAGGGAGAGACAGAGAGAAAATAATAGGAGAACAAAAAAAAAACCTAAAACGAATCCGAGCATCTATCCCACCGGCGCGTACTTCACAAACACAATCGACTTCACAATTCACAGCGCTTCACCGACAACTCCCTAACACTATTATGTACACTGTCCACTATCACTAACGCTAACATTATAAGGCTCAACCGGTGTTCTCACTAACGTATTGCGCAATGTCCCCCTCCCCCCACACCCGATCACCGCTGCTACAGCAGCAGGAGGAGGAGGCTTCGCTAGGGGCGCGGCTCCGGCACCAGGAGGGCGGGCGTGCTCTGCGGGATCACCGTCAGCGATTTGGGGATCTTCGGCATGACCATCTGCGGCGGAGGGGGCGCCGGGGGGGCGTTAGCGGGGGCGGGGGCGTCCCCCACCACCGCCGTCTGCGAGGTGACCGTCGCCGGCTTGGCGGGGATGGGGGCGATCGTGATGTTCTTCAGGCCGACGCTCTTCAGTATGGTGGCGGCGTTCGCGCCAATCTGCAGGTCGGGCGCAGCCGCCTCCGCCGGCGGCAGCGTCTGCAGCACGGTGCCGCCGTTGCCGAGCATGGTGCAGGTCTGCACCTCACTGACGAGCGCCTCGCCCTGGCGGCGGGCGCCGCCCTCGCCCTCGTGCAGCTGCTGCAGCTTCTCGCGGCGCATGATGCACATCTTGTTGTAGTCCTGCAGCGTGATGTGGTAGCGCTGGCCCGAGGACATCACCTGCACGAGGCTGGGCAGCGTGCGCCCGTCCACCGCCACCTGGGTGGGCTCGCGCGCGATCCTCGCCAGGTTCTCCTGCGCGAAAAGTTCAGTAAAGTGGACAACAACGGTAAAGGAAGTGGAAATCACTACATAGCATAAAACAAAGTCGTGCCCGCTGTCTGTCTGTCCATCCACAGGGACACTTAGATCTTTAAAACTGCGCAACGGATCTTGATTTTTTTTTACTAGATAGATTGATTCAATAGGAATGTTTATATGTACAATACATTGCACCCGTGCGAAGCCGGGCGCGGGTCACTAGTAATATAATAAAAATTTGTTGAACCAAAGGGACTTTCAATAGGAAACCATGTATAAAAGACTTTATAGTTCTAATATGTGCACTTAGGATGAAACATTAAAACTTTGTTGAAAAATGGGCGAAAATGTAAAAATTAAAGATAGAAGTTTGAAAGTTTAGAACTTTAAAAAATCGGTTAAAAATTTAAACATATAATTTGAACAGTAATACAGTAAAACAGTTTTTTGAGGTACTAAATTTTTCGGATTCTTTTATTTTTTTTTATTTTATTAATAAAAAGTATTTTGCAGGTAACCTAAATAATTAATTTGTAATTTTTTTAAACAGAGTATACAGCCATAACTCTTTCAATGATGTTGAAAACAAACAGGAGACAACACTTACCGGAGTTATTGGCATCAGCGTAGGACGCCAAGGTTTACTTGTTGTCTTGGTTTTCTTGGGTGTATCCGCCTTTGGTGGGGTGTCCTTCTTCTCTTTAGGGGGCTGGTCGAACTTCGGGGGTGGGAGGGGCGCGGAGGCCACTTCCGTGGGGTCAGCCGCTGACACGCCCTTCACTAGCTGCTGTATATTGTGCAGCACGTTCTGTATTGCTTTCCTGCCCTGAGCGTTCGGAGTATTGATAGCGATCAGCTCTGGTGGTAGCGGCTTAGCTTTGGGCTTTTCGGCGCTCTTAGGCTTGGGCTTGGGCACCTGCCCTGGAGGCGGCATGAACCTCTTCGGGTCCTTCTCTTCTGCGTTCTGGCTGGACTTCAACAGACTCTTGCCGTTCACTGACGGCTTCTTGCGGAACTCTATCAGGCTGATGGCGGGCTCGCTGCGACGGGGCGCGTCGGTGGCAACGTTGTCGTAGGCCCTGAGACGGCTCTGTACCGAGTCGCTGTAGTTCGCCGCGTTGGGCGAGGCGTTGTGAGATAGTACCAGGTCACCGCTCCTGAAATACTTCTCTAGTAAGATCAGGTGGCGCAGGAAGCTGGACTGGTTGCCGTACGGCCTCTGCAGCTCGTGCCACAGCTTCTTCGTCTCCACGTCGTACTGTATCATCGTGTTGCACTTCTCCCAGCCCTCGGGCGTTACGCCTTTAACGTTGTTGAACTCTATATTGCACTGCAGGTTCATTTCTTCTTCCCCGGGGAATAGCTCTCTGACCGATATCGATGGATTGGTCTCCAGTCGTTTAACCGGATTGGAGTATTTGGTGTCTACTGTTTTCTTTGGCTCTTTGTCCACGGAGAGTTTCTTTGATAGCTCGCTAAGATTCTTCTTTACTTGTGTGAAGCTCTCAGACATCTGCCATTTGTTTTTCAGCGTGTTAATGTCGGCCGGTTTCTTGTTCGGTATGGTCTCTATGGTGCACTCTTCGTTCAGGTTTATGTTCTTTAAGATTGTTACTTCTTTGGGCTTGTCTGCTTCGTACATTTCAATGTCCACCTCGTTCCTGGCGGGCCGCTCTTTGTGGGTGAATATTTGGCCGATTTTATGTATCCTTTTAGAGTTCTTGTCGTTGATTCGGCTCTGATGGGAGGGTTTCTGTATACCAGTGTTGTGGACCTTCAAGATGTTCCGTTGCTTCTGAGTGAGATTCGGCGGGTGCTGTATGAACTGTTTAGGGTTGTTCTGCTTCTGCAGCAGGTATTGCAGCTCCGTTCTCTTGTCCAGAGGCAGCAGTGGGGCGTCCAAGTCGAACACTGCCTCAGTCTCAGAGCCATCGCTGTGGCCCCCCTCTGTTTGCTTGGTTGCGCCCGGCACTGGTATTTTGTTGGACGATATCAAGCACTCTATGTCCTCCTCTAGAGGGTGCGACTCTTTGGGCTCCCCATCTTCTTTAGCCTTCTCCTTTTCAGGGGAACTCTCCGTTGTCCTCTCTGAAGATTCGCTGTCTGGGCGCCTGTTGCTGTCGGGCTCTGTGGACTTACGCTGCTTCGACTTTGTGCGAGCCTTTTTCTTCTGTTTCCCACTCATCGCACTATCGTCCAGTATCAAAGAGTTCTCCACTTCATGCTCTAGCTCGGGCGGGAGCTGTATGTTGTATATTTGGAGTAGTCTGCAATAAAAAATGTACATTTCAGAACATTATTATAAACAAACTGTTCATTAGGAAATTACTAAAGTTGATCATGCACATTAACCTTTTAATTAACGTGACACTATTCGCATACACATATTTTTTTTATGTGAGAAGGGGGCAAGTGGGCTAGCGGTTCACCTGATGTTAAGTAATAACAGCCGCACATGGACATTTGCAACAAATGAACAGAGAGGTGGTACATCCGTTGCCATACTTGTTATTAGTGGGCTTCAGTTACCACTTCCACTTCACGCCGGTCTTCTGTGAGGTTCCATTCGTGCAACAGTCCGCGAGATAACTATTAACCCGGGCAATAGGCAAGGAAATACTAATGCAGAAAACAAATTAAGAGTTATTGTCATCTGTGGAGATTTTATGGGATTTCTATATGCCACTATTCGGGGCATGTGATGAATATTCCATCAAAACTCACCTGCGTCTACAAGCCTGCGCGTATTTATCATTATGGCCAGGCCTTTGCAGCACCGCGCAGTAGTTCCTGCACATCTTACAGAGCACCGGACGCTCAGTGAACTGCACCGGAACACCAGCCTCCTTCAGAAGCGGGTTCAGTTCCAAATAACCCTGCAATTGCATGCCACTGTTGAGATTCTCAAGGCTCATAGAAAATTTTGCACATCAGACTCACCCAAAAGATTGAGCTATAACAAAATGACATATAAATATGTATATGCACACTTTTTATTGTGATATACACCAGTTACAAAACGGTATTATCTTGTAATGAAATCTGGGATCTAATACTGATTTACAAATAAAATGATAAAAATTATCTAAGTATATATTTATAACCTGATTACCTACAAAAGTTTTTCAGAAGTTAACCACAGTGAGCCATTAAATAAAATATCTATAATTGCTTAAAAACCAGATTAGGAAGTGGATTTCTTTGGAATGATATCTATTTGGAAAGTTATATGTATTTTAGCTCAGAATTTTTTTAGTTTCTTCTCGCAACAATTCTTTATTTGTTATCTTTTAGTAGATATTTGTTAGAAATTTAAATTTTTTATAGTGCTAATCTCTGCACTTAAGATGTAACATTAAGAAAGATATTTGTAAAAAAATATATTGAGTAGGGCTTTATAATAATAAAGAAAATCTGCGAATGCTCCTGATTAACATTAGTTGTCGCCAACTTGGAGGGTCCACATAGGCAAATAAGGAAGCCAAGATTTGTTAGGTTTCTTGGTTTTGAGGAAACTATCTAGCTTCAAAGGTTACAATAGATCTTCTGGATCGCGGTGGTCATACAAATCATATTCATATCATAAAATCAATCATAATCCTTCGACGACCCGAATGGCGTAGTGAGTGGTGTACCTGCCTCCTGCGCCAGAGGTGTGGGTTTACATAACATATTGTGTGATAAACATAGTGTTTTTCTAGTGTCTGGGTGTTTATATATGTATAGTATGTATTTATTTATAAAGGAAAAGTATGTTTATCAGTTATCTAGTACCCAGAGTAAAAGCGTTGCTTACCTTGGGACTAGAAAATGTTGTGTAAAACAAAATGTGTCCTAAAATATTATCATTATTATTATCTAATATATAAAATTCTCGTGTCACGGTGTTTGTAATTGAATTCCCCGAAACGGCTCGACCGATTTTCGTGAAATTTTGCGTGCATTTCGGCCAGGGTGGAGAATCGGACAACATCTATTTTTCATCCCCTAAATGTTAAGGGTGGTCCACCCCAAACATATTTTTCTACCCTACAAATAATTTATATGGCAAAACAACGTTTGCCGGGTCAGCTAGTTATATTATATATTCAAGGGGTCCTCACGTGGTGTATGAAATGCACATTGTGGTGTTTGGTGATGCGTCGTCGGCAGAGAACGCACGCCATGAGCGGTGCCAAAGCGCGGTAGTGCTCCCCGCACAGGGGAATCGTGTGTAGCCCGGGGTAGTCGCACTCCAACTTCAACTGAAATGACAATACAGTAAGGTTCAATTTTCTTTACACGATTCAATTGAGGCCAGTTGCAACGATTGAAGTGATGTTTGTTACACGGAGATGATTATCCGTCTGTCGTGTTTAATCTAGTCTAAGAATTAGTCTAAGAATAAGATCAAAATCAAATATTTTTATTCAATATAGAAGCATTACATTTACTAATAAAAGCCACAAATAGCAGAAAAGCCACTGACCTGAGAAGAACCGGCGAAAGAAACACAAATTTTTCTGTTTATTACCATTATTCAAGAAGAAACATATTTACAGTGCATTACAAGTTCACTTGAAAGAGCTTATTATAATAGTTTTGAATTTAACAATTGATACATTGTGAACATTTTCTGGAATTCTGTTGTATATTTTATAAAAACGTATAACCATAAAAGAATTATTTAATTGGTTTAATTTATTGGTACCATAATTGAATTATTATACGCAATCTAATTGTGGGTAGAATTAATTTATGTCTGTTCCTATTTATATCATGCACATTACCATATCTTAAAAATTCATTCCTTTTTTTTAAAACCATTTGACCATATTTTATTTTATATTGACATACATAACATTTTCAAGTATGTACTGAGATGCAGCAGTCAATATTTTAATGTCTTTGAAGAAATTTCTTAGTGTTTCTTTGGGGCCCATTTTATAAACTACTCGAATAGCTCTCTTTTGAAGGATGAAGATTGTATCTATTTGTACCTCAGTCAGTCAGTTTGTCCAAACCAATCAGACCGTGTATGTGGTAAGAAGCTATAAATTCGGGTGACTTTAAAATAACTGTAATTGCTAACCATTCCAAATCACCAGTCGATTGGGATGAACCAGTGTGGGACTGGGGCACTCACCAGCTTGTTGACGCTGGAGCGCATCTTGATGAGCCACTTGCGCCGTATGGAGTGGTCCGCTAGGACTCCGCAGCCGGCCGTGTGGCAGATGGCGCTTCGGGCTTCGCGCGGGGGCACCGCCTCCTCGGAGCTCTCGTCCTCCATGGACGGGCTGCGAGGATTTTCGACCCTGGAACCAGGGATATCGCAGCTTAATTAAGACCACTGGAGTCAGTAGGGTCGGCTACGTGAAGTGGTCTCGTGTAGCAGCAATTCAAAGGGGAAATCCCGGATTTCCTACCGAGGCGTTCCAGTGTGTGTTAGTAACAAGTTAAATATTAACTTCTGCTTTCACTAGCCTCATTATGCGTGGGGACGAGTTCCATACTTCCCTGTGCCTGATTTAAATCCTAATGGCCGCAACTAATTGCGGAGGAACACTCACGCGTTCTCTGAGTGCGCGGGCTGCTGGGCGTCTGGTGGTTTGACGAGGGGCCGTTTGCGGTACGACGGGCAGTTGGCTCGCCGGTCCACGTGGCGGTAGCAGGCGTCGCACAGGCAGCTGTCTATCGTCAGCTTCTCCTCGTCTGCGGGGCCAAACGGAGGGTCAGGGGATCGCTCGACGGAAACCGCAGGCAGAGAACGGAACAAAAACTGAGTGTAAAGCCAAATGAATGAATACGAGGAAACGTGATAGAGATAATGTGTGGTGTAGTGGCGAAAGGGAAGAAGACGGGAGGACTGATCTCTCGTGTTTCTCGTCGAGGTTACGTCCAGGGATAGAGTCAAGTAGAATAATTTTGTGTTGCAGACATCCAACGATGCTGCTTAATGTTTCATCGTTGGACTTCTGCTAAGCGATTGACAGGCTAAGCGGGTGCAGCAGGATTGGGGTATGCAGTTGGTACGATAAAGGAGAAACAGTGGATGTCGTGGAACAATGACGACGGTCGGCACAAAACTAACGGTGAAGCTACGACGAACGAACGTGACGAACGCAAAACGCAAGCGGCCGTAGAGGCATGCGTAGAGGTCCAAACCGCTCACCTGGATATGTCCGCCAGTCAGCTGTTCCGAGGAGAACAATTTGAGGTGTGTAATATTCACGCGCTGTACAACAATCGCACAAACTGACAACCGGACGCGGTGTCGCCACGCGGCCGGCGGATACTCACTGTCGAGGACCTTCCTTTGACGCTCGCTGCTCTTCATCTGGGCGATGTGGCAGGGCGTGTCGAAGAGGCCGAACTTGCCGCCGCAGTAGAAGCACTGGTCCATGCACAGCCTGCCCGGGTGGATGCTGAAGGAGGACGCCTTCTCCGGGATCACCAGGTTGGGGGTGTCTTTCGACGGCTCGGGTTCCGGCGCGGCTTCCGCATCTGCGCCCACAAGCCGCGCCGTTATTCGAGTACGAATTGCGAAGGACGAAGCGCCTTGCTATCCACTTTCGTTCAACCTTACTGTGGCAGGGCCACGCAACAGTTTCGGCTGTTGCACGAATGGGCACGTCCGTCCGGGTAAGTACCACGACCTCACAGAAGACCGGCGTAAAGTGTTACACTTCTGCGCTTCGTCTGGTGAGTGAGGTAGCTGGGGCCCCACTTTATTTAAAGGCCGCAACGCATTTGTAAACCCTACTTTAACACCTAACATCAGGTGAACCGCCAGCTCGTTTGCCACTTTTTCAAATAAAAAAAAAAAAACCTTTGCACCGACGGTGAGGTTGAGTATATATACTTTGGCGTTAAGTACATTTGCCTTGACGTCAAGTACATATAAAAGTAAAGTAACATCCTATAGATGTCCCGCTATTGCAAAAGCCTTCTCTGTACAGAGGGTAGCAGGGCATAGTCCACCACGTGGCCCCACTGCGGACAACACTTCCAGACGTTCAGTTAGTTTGTGTACATGTGCTGTGTCCATGAAAATGTCCTCGTTTTCAAATTTCTCTTATAACAAAATACCAATCTTATAGCATACCGTGGCAGGATAAACACCACCACCAAACGTTTTTAGTTACCAAGTTGTTATTTTGTTAATTTTTTCCTTGTGTTAACGTATAGCTTAATGCTGGATTGATTATACCTTGTCCAATGTGGAGTAACTCGGAGTTATTCTGGAATTAGTAGGAATCAACATAAAGTGTGTAATCTGTTCGTCTGCCTTTTAGGTTTTGTTGGACCTGAAGTCTAACCAATAACCGCGATTATTTTTGATATTTTAGTTATTTAATGGATTAGATTTTTTGTGTTTTAGCACGGATAGTATTAGTGGCTGTAGTGAGTTGTGTAATCATTTAATCTTTCGAAGATGAATGTATCAATATCGATCAAGTATTTATTGAATAATTTCAAATGTTTGGATTGGATTTAATAAAAAAATATTCGTTATTTTCGATTTTTGAATAGCTAAGGCAAGTAAGTATTTGGAATGAAAACTGTCATTTAAAATGTTCAGCAACGAGTTTTGTACCGCATACCTTTATGTAATAGTGTTAATCTATTAGTATATTATATTATGAAAAGCCTTTTTATTCTCTAAGGCCGGATATACTTTTTGACAATCAACAATCTTTAATAGGAAAAGAGAAATTCTGTTTACGGACTGTGGCATGTCTTGGATTTTACTTGGAATAAATGACCTGGCAATAATTCTTTTCAACATTGAAAGGGGCTCCTAAATGATATCCGAATAATGCAACCTCATCGAGCCTGATTGTGTCATTAACAAGGTAGGTATTCGGGAGCAAAACCTATTTCCAAATTTAAATAAATGTTCAGATATTTATTTATAAAATATCTGAAATAACTCATGTACGTTGAGAAGGCTTTAAATATAAAAAATATAACGAGACCATTCGTAAACTGCCAGCATTTGAATCGGTCGAAGATAGTTGAAGTCGGTAAGATGGCGGAATTTACTAAAGTCTTGTCTTTGGGGGGATCTAAGGGTTTGTTCCCGATTACGCTGAGGGGTGAGTGTTTGGGGTGAGTGTCCACACACCGTGGTTGTTAAGCCGATTACTGTAATGTGACTTTCTGTGCCCACCGTCTGACGTAGCGCCCGCGCCGCCCTGGGGGGGGAGAAAACACCATTACTAGAACTCGTTCAGCAAGAAGTGCAATTGCTTGATATGCTACATCTACGGTGGTAGGGCCACGCAACAGTGTTCGCTGTTGCACGAATGGGCAGGTCCGTACGGGTTAGTACCACGACCTCACAGAAGACCGGCGTAAAGTAGAAGTGTTGCACTTCTGCGTTTCGTCTGGTGAGGTAGCCGGGGCCCATACTATTAAGCGGAGGCAAAGCATCTGCAACCCTACGGGTGTTGCAAATGTCCATGGGCAGGCGGTTATCACTTAACATCGGGTGAACCGCCAGCTCGTTTGCCACTTCCTTACATAAAAAAAAATAAAACAATACCAATCAGCTATAGGTTGGATATCGCATAAGGACCACCACTACGATGGTTGTGGACTAAAACAATAAGCACAACTTGGGCTCTTCGGTACAGATAGAAAATTTGGTCGTATCAATCCGTCTTCGAATAAAAGCACTATAAAATGAATTTTATTCAGTTAATTTTTTCTAGCTCTTAGAAAATATCTAGATATTAGAGAACCAATACAGTATGAGCTATAGTTAAACTGAAATATGATTAAGACGATTGATAATCACAAACAAAATCGTATGAACGTATATTAATATAATGTAGATTATGATTCCATTTGGAAAAATGTTTAAACTAAAGCCATTACCAAATAGTATGGTCGGATATCATTCTCTAGTTAAGACCAAACTTGTATTAACCTCCATTGAATTTCATCAATATTAAAGTTCAAAGGTATTAGTAAAAATCATTGAAAAGAATGAATAAAGATAGATTCCTTATTGACAATTGAAAGTTTGAATTGAAACCCTTTTCGAACTTCTGTTGAAATTTTAAAAACTAATAATGTTTTATGATGATCTCAATAAGTTCTTGAACTAAAATTATAAATGCCACGAATAAGTTACTACAAGTGGAAAGTTTAAGCGCAAGCATTTTGTCTTCTGCAAAGAATATCAGATATCAGTAAAAATAAGAACAAACATGGATAGCTATCGTAATATAGGAATGAATTGTGATTTTATATTTTTACACTTTGTATTAGAGTGTAAAAGTATGCTCCAGAAATACGTTTGGAGAACGTACTACTACTAGTCATGTTCCTTTATATAAGAACTTATGTTATCCCCAAGTAGAAGAGATTATAAAAAAATATTTAAAATTTAATTAAGATCAGATCTGTTTAAGAAGTATACGCAAAGAGAAAAATTGTTGCATATCTGTCTGTATTCTGTTAAAACTGACGTTTAAAAACAAATGAAATAACCGGAACAAAATGAATACGACAGTCAAAAATCGTTATAAGCTTGTGAATAATAAAAAAAAATATAATAGCTCACCTCGCGTCTTTCGATGGTGTAATAGTCCTCGCCTGCTGCTTCACCGACCTCCGGCGCCATCTTCCCCGATCGGGGCTTGGTCTTCTGGAAGGTCATCTTCAGCGAGGTCTTCTGCCTCTTTTTCTCCCTGTCGCCCGAGTTGCGGCTGAGCTTTATCACAGTCTTCAGGGTGCCCGTGTAGTCCGACCTGGACTTGCTCTTGTTGCCCATCAGGCCGCAGTAGTTGGGCCCGTAGATGCGCTCCTTCTCCTTCTGCTTCTCCATCTTCGCCTCGTTCGCCGCCTTGTGCGTGAGTAGCCCCAGGGTCCGCAGCACGTTCTCCTTCCTCTTCTGGCTTTCGGGCGTCTCCGTGATCGCGCCGCTCGGCCCCGCTTGGCCCTCGGTGGAGTTTCGTGCCGATTTCACCTTTGGACTCTTCGGTTTTATTTCTTCCGTTTCCATCGCGATCGGCTGTATTCTGTCGGGTTGCGGCTTAGGGTCTGTCGTCTGAATCGCGGCCTCCTTGGGCGCGGTGAGGTGGTCTTTTGCTTTGACCTCTTTGGGTTTGACGGCGTTATCTGTAGCCTTGACAGGCTCCACTGTTTCCTTTGGCTCAGCCGGAGGTTTAACGGTGTCGACCTTGGCCGGAACATCGGGCGTCGGAGCCTCGGTTTCTGGAACCGTAGCGGTTTCCGCTCCCGCGCTCTGATTGTGGTCGCTCAGGCTTGTTTCCGGCTTTACCAGCTCGCTTTCGGGCTCGGCGAGATTTCCAGCAGTGGCCGCCTCCGGAGCGAGCGCCACGTCAGCTGGAACCACATTTACGTTGTCCAATGGAGGCGCTAAAACCTCAGTTTCTAGCGCCTGTGCGGCTTCGGGTGATTTCACTGCGACAGGGGGGGTGATTAACGCCGCCTGGACTTGATGAGTGGGCGACTTAATCTTCTCCATGGTCGCCGACTTCTCTTCGCTTTCGACTCCGGACTCTGACGACTTTCTTGAGATCGAATCCCTCGATTTCCGCTTCGTCTGAGCTTCGCTGTTGGCACAGTTTTGGCTCAACGACGCGTGGCATGATCGATATCTGATTGGAATCCAATACGATGCCGACTAAACTCTGGCTCGCGTTATTCGGATGCAAAGTTGCGAACTGGTGCAAGTCTTTTGGAGCCGCTGGGCCCTTGTCCACTGATTTCCTCAGTTCGGTCAAAGTCACGTCCTTGCCCAAGGACTTCTCGAAGACGCTGATTGCATCGGATTCCTTAGAATGGTTCGAACTTGTGGACTCCTTGCGGGCGCTGAAACTGTTTCTCTTTATCAATGTCACTGAATTTGGCAGGTCTACGTCAATTGACTTCCTAACCTGATCCCTTTTTACTATTGAAATTGCAGAATTGTTCTCGAAGCAGCTCAAAACATTCTCCTTCTCAATAAGTTTTTCTGGGGATCTTGCTGGTTGCATGTCTTTTAAAGGTTTAATGTCTGCTCCCGATTTAGGTATCAACACCACGTCATTAGTGAGTATAAGTGGCTTGTTGTCACTAGCCTTGGATTCGGATTCTTGCCTTTGCCTTCTCTTATCAAACTCCTCAAACTCCTTGAGCCTGTCCATAAGCTTATCTATGCTAGCTACAGTCGGGCAATTATAGGGTATTTCATGCCTTCGACCATCAGACGACTTTTCTACTGAGTCTTCTTCATAGCGGAGCCTAATGTTCTCACTGTCATCCGTTTTTGAAGGTGTAACTTCATTTGGCAGCGTTGTCAGTACATCTTTTTCTTTGATTGGTGTTTCAGGGGTTACAATGCTGTTGTTGTCACCTAGTGGTTTAGACAAACCGTAGAACTTGGTAACTGATTTTGATGGCATCTGATCAGGTGTTACAATTGTCACATTTGCCATTTCTTGATCCCGGTCTATATTCTGATCAAGATCATTGATGAGATCATTTATTTCCTTAGAAAGTGTATCTAAAGTTTCATGTTTGTCTTCGGAAGGGTCATTAGTTATTGTGCTGCTAATACCATTTTTAGCAACTGGAGTACTGTTGGACTTTCCAGCGGCTGCTGCCTTTTTCCCTCTTCTAGCCTTTCTTATATTCTTAGAAACCTCTTTTGAATTAAATGTCTTTGACATACTGGTCAATATACTACTGCGTTCCTCAAACAGTGCATTTTCAGTCTTCGGCAACAGCTTTTCTTCTATTTCTGATGCATTTAAATTTTCTAACTTAAGCTTATTACTATTATTGTTGTCAGAGTCCAATGAAGTAGCTCTTTTTAAGCTCAATTTTTTCTTATCCTTTTCAATCACATTACAACTAGGCTCTGTATCCATCTTGGCTTCAGGCAATTTGGAGTCATTATTAACAGAAGGCACTTTTCCAATAGTTGAGATCTGTACATTATTTTCAATATCTACATCTATGTCAGTCTTAGTTTTATCTAATTTTTTGTTGAGCTCTTTGTTACTGTCTGCATCATTAATAGTTTCACTCAGGCTTATATCCGATTCTGTGATATCTGAGCATTTGGAAATCTCACTGCCATCCCTCGAACAGGAGCGGACCCTTTTTAGTTTTTTGCTATCTTCATTAGCATCTATGGTGTCGCTGGGCTTTGAATCTGACAGCAATCTTCTTCTCTTCTTTTGCTCTTTCATCACAACTTCACTTAAGAGTTTGCTTTTTGCACTCCTTGGTTTACCACTTCTTAAATTTTTTGCTTCAAACATTGATGGACTATTACTTCTCTCTGAGCGCATTGAGTATGGGCTAGTGCGTGGTCCCAGAACCAGAGTATTAGGAGAATCACCTAGAACGGACTTCATCATGACCATATCAGAGCTGAGCCTTTGCCTTCTTCCAGCAGTCTTTGGACTTGAAGACCTGGAGTTGGAGTTGGGTGTTGTATCATCAATAGGTTCCTTTTTAATTTCAGATACAGGTATTAACGGGACGGTTTCCTTTTCCAGAGAATTGTTAGGTTCTGGCCTCACTGCCGGTTTTCTACCTCTCTTTACAGCGTGCTTTACAACATTCCTAAGTTTTTCTTTAGTGGCAACAACTTTTTTATTTCTCAAAGTTTTCCTTATACCAAGTGGCCGTTTCTTAACTACAGCCTTAGGTTTACCCACAGCTTTTTTGGGTTCTTTGGAAGGTTTTTGTTCATCTTGATTGAGTTTAGATTTATCTTCTTCAGTATTATCCGAAGCTTTCTTTCGGGCTCGAGTCTTCGGTTCTATAGTGTCTTCATCAACACTCTTGTCCGAATCCTCTTTGAGTTGTTTAGTTTTCATGATGGAATGTCTGGTGAAAAATCTTTCTTTTCCTCCGACATCAGGCAAATCCTGACAGTCAGTTTTCCTTCTTTAAGTCAATCTGAGATTGATAACTTATTATGTTTAATAGTTAAGGTATCTTCTAGTTGGTCAGTCCAACCTGACCATATCAAGCTTATTATAATGTTCTTAACTATGCTTAAAAATAAGCTATTTTGAAAATGTAAACAAACATATATTTTCTTCTGTAGACTGAAGAGAATTCTTTTTATTGCTCTTTGATTGTTATAATGTAATGACAGCAAGCCATACTATGTTTCTACAGCATATTATGCAGACCTGGAAAGTAAAAAAGAAACTTTAATAACACAAACAGTCATAAAACTTTATAAAATGACATAAGCCCTTTTGTAAAGTTAAGTAAAAAATGAAAAATAAAAGCTAAAAAGTTTTATAGTTCAAATGAACTAACATATATGTTGATATAAGATGTTGGTATTACGAAAAAGTTTAAATCATCTACAATTTCAATAGAAATTGCTAAGAAATCAACGTAAAAATATCGTGGTAAACATTGTTGATGCACAATAATCAACAAGTTCGCGCACTAATTTGACACTGTTATATTTTCTTAAAACCGTACTTTACTACATAAAAACAATCATTAAGCTTCAATAATACCGAATACAACTCAAAACTTACTTTTACAGCGTTCGTTACTAAGGAAATCCCGCCGGAAAAACCATGAAAATCTCATGTTTTGGTGGTTTAGATCTCGAATGACACCTAACGCCACCTACCAGCTGAGTGAGTGCGTGTGCGTCGACCACAGAAAGCACCAAATCATTTCCCTACCCGTGGCGCACCTCAGTAATGTCCTCACAAAATACTCACAATCAATCCCAAGGAACAGCCAAAAACCACAATAAACAGTTAATTGGACACACAACACACCATAATATGCGAAAAAGTTCAATAAAAACACGCGATAAAACTTAGAAAATGATTTTTGAAAAGCCCAAATGTCTGCAGGCGTCCGCCATAATGTTTCCTTCGAAACGAATAATATAGTTCTTATTGCTCTTGTAGCAAGCAATCGCTCTATTCGCTATTCAAAATGGCGACCGTGTGGCGTTCACAGTGTGCGTTTGCACGATTTTTTATTGGAAAAATCGTCCGGATCCCGAACAACTCTTCTGATTTGGGTGCAAAACTCTCCTCGGGACCACTAGCGGTAATTATTCAATTATTTTCACTTGCGCCGTGTTGTAATGTCGCTTCGCCTGCGACATGTGACAGTACTATAGGCGTACACCCCTCCAAACAGCTTACTCTCGTGAAACTCATCATATTATATTAACTTTTTTCAGAACAAAATTTCAAAAACTTTAATACGTACGGTTTTCTTTTATGATTACGTGTTTTAATGTTTAAATTAACTCGTGGATATCAACATTTCATTTATATTTTTATTATTATACTTTATTTATTAAAGATTACACTTGGTTTTAAACATATACTTCTTTTTTGCATATTTACAGATTGCGTGTGGATCGAGGAATTATTCCAACTATGCTCATTCTCCATTTGTTCGTAAAGTCAAGGAACAATATGACTATGAGGTAATAAAAAATCCACCTGAATGGGCTTATGTGGAGAGGCTTTTACCGTTTGATACCATTCCTGCTGTAAAACCCAAGGAAAAATATCCTTCCGGTTGGATACCACCACGCGAAGAAGCAAAAGATTTACCATATTTTATTTCAAGAACAAAAAATCATGAATTACCAATATACCTCCAAATTACTTTTAGAGGGATGCGAAAAATAACTCTAGTGAAAAAAATTGACGGTGACATTTGGCTTTTAAACGACATAATTAAGAAACTTTTAAAAGAACAAGCACAAAAATACGTAGAAACCCGAGTCCATGAATTGGGAAGGTTCATAGAAGTTAAAGGTGATTATGTAAATGTTATTCGTGATTGGGCTTTTTCGAAAGGATTTTAACAGCAATTTGTAGAATGATTATTAAAAATTAGTTGAGTATAGCAGAACGTTTTATTTTCCCAATTATTATATCCCATTAATAAGATGATTATTATCCCATTAATAAGAGATTGTGTAAATTTCATTAAGAATAAATAATATTGCGCTGATAATTTTAATTTTTACATAAAAATAATTAAAATTATTTCTTATCGCATGAATTAATATAGTAATGATACAAAAAACATTGTTTGTGCATTTACTTAATTTGTATTTTTAAAATTTTCAATGTCATTATTTCTTTAAATAAAAATAAAAAAAAAAACTACGGTGAAACCTGTTTGGTGGATTGTAAGCGGCATGAAGCGCGTTTCCCCCAACCGTCACCAGTAGCGCTGGCGTCGGCGGAAGGTTTTATCTACGTAGCTATATAACATCCGCCCGGAGTTCTTGGGCCTCTCCGCGATATTATTTTCGACTCGTGTCCACTTCTCTTTGTTCAAAAACAACTTTTCTATATCACAGCGCGGTTAATAAACGCTTTGACACGCTTTTCAGAACGAAAACGGCGGCGAACGAAATGTTAGGTTATTTTATATTACAATTTTTTTCATCTTTTAATAGGTTAGTGATTCGCGTTAAGTATCACAATGGGCACGTTATAAAGTTTGCAAAGTTATGTTTTATTAGCTAACTCAAATAAGGAGCGCATGTGTAAGCGTTCACGATATTGTTACGTAATTGATAAATGGATGTATGCATGTATGTACATATACTATGTATTCTCAAGGCTAAGTGCTTTCAGTTCGAGTCGCCACGTGTAAACATTTGGTTTTTGTAGCTAATATAAATGCACAATGATTAATGATCGCTTGCGCGCGGGGTTGGTTACTTTCTTTCCTTATTTTTGTACTGTTCGATTGTAAAATTTTATGTATAGTTATTAATTGTAGTAAGTGAATCTATTTATTCGGTGATTTTGTTAATCGATGATAAAAAATCTGGAATTTACCAATGGTTATAGCTTATAGCAATTAAATTGTTTATAAGTGGGTGTTTTATATAAAGGAACTCGACGAAAATAACTACGTCCGATGATACCTAGCTAACGAGTTTTACAGGGAACGTCTTACAATTAAACTTCGTTGTAATTAGATTGCTCGTAATGTTCGTATTAATTAATTGTCCATAGTAATTAAAACCTTGACAAGTGCAAGTTATATATTGAAATTGATATTTTATTATTTGACATATAAGATATTGATATATTTTTATTTGTTTATTTACCACGCCTATATGGTTATAATTTGGAGTTACTAAATAACAAATATGTTGGTGAGCACACGTAAAAAAATAAATATAGTGTTGCAATGAAGTTACAAAAATTTTGTGATAATAAATATGTTTTATGTACTTATATATTTACATAGTTTAATAATTATTATATACATTTTTTTTTCCAATTTAAGCTTTAATTATTTATGGTATGCTTTTATTATATTAAAAAGATGTCAAATAGTCAATTGCGTGGAATTCCCTTGCGGAATTTTGTTTCTTAAAGAGGAATAGAGAATGTTTTTGAAATAGTATAAATTAGGGCTATAGGTGTTTATATTTATTATATGATGTATATACCGAATGCAGTCGCGCCCCATCGTTTCTCTAATATTTTTGAAGATAAATTTCTTAGGCGCGTTGAGCGCTTTTTGGGTGAAAAAAAATTCATGGAACTGGCGTCATCGTCACCGAACTCTTTCCATGACCTATATGTATACTGTGTAATATATGTGTACTTTTTGGGTGAACAAAAAGCGTGAAACTCGCGTCACCGTCACCGAACGCTTTCCATGAGATATTTTTAAAAAAGGAATACGCAAAAATATATTTATTTGTAGCTATGGATATGATATAATTACTGTTAGTAGGTGTAGAATTAAATAATAAACAATTTTAATTTTCATATTGTTTTATGCTTTCACTACTGTCGGCAGACCTCATAAGACTGCCTATTTTTTTTTCTATCCACTTTTAAAAAACCTGCACTTTTTGTGCACCAAGAACGTAATGATAATAGAAATATATTAAACTAGCTGCTGCCCGCGACTACGTCTACGTAGAATAGGCTGAAGGCGCAACATTCAGACAGAGACAGATATACATAAAAATATGTACATAACTTATATAAGCTATATTATTATAAAGTTTCATTAAAATCCATTCAGTAGTATTTGCTTGAAAGAGTAACAAACCTCCATCCAGACATACAAACTTTCGCGTTTATAATATTAGTAAGGATATCCATTCTAATATAAATATTAATAGATTTTGTTCAAGCCGAAAATTAGGGATGTCTTTTAGAAGTAAAATAGTGAATCACTATTTAATCTTATTGTTGTTTGTAAACCTGAATAGGTTCAAGATAACTTGTGCCAATAAATAACCGGATTTAACACAAAAGACATCGCAGTTAATAATGGAGTGTATTAGTTATGGCTTAAGTGTGTTTAACCGAGGTAATTAACCTGAATCTGTACACTCCATCAAGGCTGGCAGCGTCAGAGCTTCCGTAAAACAAGTTGAAGATTAAGCAATTATTATTTTTAATATAACAGTCATTCAGTAGTATTAATATCCAGCAACAATTCTGTAACACGAAAATTAAATCATGTGAAATGCCAAATTGAGATAAGCAAGTGCATTACTAGGATCTATTTACACCTCTACGTGGCTAGTTAGTTTATTAGCCACGTATAAGTAAATACTCTTTGCTAGCCCATTCAAGGTAATGTGTCAGTTGGGAAATAGAAAAGATATAAATACAAATGCGAGCTTATTTTTACGATTTTCGATTTTACCCTCAATAGTTAAAAAATGATCTAAGCACCCGTCAAGTTGTCATCGAATTATATTTTTACCACTTACGATAAGCTTAAATGAATAAGAAATAGAGAAACTTTTCAGTAGGGTCTTTAATTTAAGTAATATTATTACACGGAGGGGCTAAAATGCTTTCAAGCGTCTGTTTCATAATATTGGTCTTTAATTAGTAAGTACCTATGTGTTGAAAACAGATTTTAAATAAGTTGGACAAAAATGTTTGGTTCTATGTCATTTTTTAACGAACCTACCTATTCGTAAATTTCATCATTTTAAAACACGAGATTGTTTATGCAAAATAAGGTGTCTTACTTATTTTTATTACTATTTCAATTAGTTTGTTTTTATTATATTCAATAATTGCATATTAAAAAAATAAGCTTTCTACTCCACTATCTCGATTCGAACGTCTTGAAGTATTCGATAATAATTCTTCTATATATTTTGCTACTATTTTTCTCGTAAGAGAAATTCATACAAAAGTAAGTAGATACATCTACCTAGATTAAATTAGATAATATGTATAAATATAAAATTGTAAATAAGTAAAAGAATTTCATCAATTAGATAAGCAACTAAAACTAAAAATATCCAATGATAAAAGACCGCTCCTCGAACAAGAAAAGATTTCTACCGTCTATTTTGATACAAAACCAACGTAGCCTGTACCTATATAATTTGGTAGTCCTATGTAATATGTCCATAGGGTGGTTGAGAATAAAATTTTCTGTTTATTTTATTCAATTTTATTAAATATTAACGCCTTATACAATTTTATACACACGGAAATAATGGGAAGTTCTTTTAAATTGTAAAGGTCAAGAATAAATCTAAATTAAGCTTGGGAATAAACATGTAAATGACATTTTTTCTTAGATGTTTACATGAATAAGTAATATATAACACCCTTACCTCATGCTTCCTAAAATAAATTGATTCAATAATAAGCGTCCACTCTATACTTTTACTTTGATATAATGCAATATACATAAAATCAATCAAATAGATATCAAGTGATTGAACGATGGGGTTTCGAGACTCCACAATGGGAACTAAACAAAATCGTGCTTTGTTTTTGCTATATAGGTAAATTGACCATACGTCCCGTTTTGAACGGGACTGTCCCTTTTTTGCAAATTAACACTCCTTTGGATGTCAGATGCGAAAAGTGTCGCACAGTTTAGTGTTTCCCATAGTGGTGCTGGTGATATTGAACAGCTCCAGTTCTGAAGGTGATGCTGGTAACAACGGTCAACATAAAAGAAACGTGCCAAATTTTATACTTATTTAAAATCTTCACCTTCTTTATTAAAAAAAAATTGTTCCTCTGAGAAATATAAAAAATATTTAAAAACATACCAATGTTGTTTTAATAAAAAATAGTGAACTGATGATTTTTTTTTGTATCTTTTAAGTTTTAATCTTTTCGGAATAAATAAAATTAAAAAGTTATGTTTATTTTCATTGAAAATCAATGTCCCGTCTTGAGTTAGAAAAAAAGTGGTCAATTTAGGTTAGGTTAGTCATTAAAATTATTTAACTCGGTCACAACATTCTTTTTATTTTATTTTTTGACAACCCTATTGTCGTAGTGGGTAGTGACCCTGAGTCGTGCGCCAGAGGGATTGGGTTTGATCCCCACTACTGGAAATTATTGTGTGATGAACATATTATTATTTATTTGGGGTTATTTCTTTGTTTTCTCGTGCGGTTGGGTTTATAGATAAAAAATAAACATATAAATATATATTGCATATATAAAATAAATATTATGAATAAAAATAAACATATACATATAATACATATATAAATAGGACCCAACCAGACGGAAGCCCTCGGCAGGGGAGACCAAACGGCCGAGGGTTAGGGTGAAAGGGAGAGAAACCGGCTGATGATGCGGGCGGTATCGAGGAGCACCGCTTTCTGCATTAGAGCTTGGAGCGTTCCGTCCCGGAGTCCCAGTCGCCTCAGATGTCCGGAGAGGCTGGCTGGGATCAATCCATTCGCAGATACGACTATCGGGATAATTTCGGTGGGCACACCGCCCCACATATCGGTCACCTCGTGAGCCAGGTCCAGATACTTCTTCTTCTTATCTGTTTCGGCTTTCTCGAGGTTCTCGTCATATGGAATGGTAATGTCGACCAAAAATACCTGAGACTGTGCCCGGTCCATCAACACGTTATCAGGTTTGTTCGCGACAATCGTCCTGTCCGTGATGATGGACCGGTCCCAATAGAGCCTGGCGCGGTCATTTTCGAGCACGGCCTCCGGAGAGTACATATAGTACGGCAGTTTCCGTTCCACGAGGCCGTATTTCAGAGTGAGCTCCTGGTGTAGGATTCTGGCTACTAGGTTGTGTCTATGCAGATACTCAGAGTTAGAAAGCATGGAAAACCCGGCGATAACATGTCGAAGCGACTCCCCGGGATGGCGACTAGCTCGACAGATGTCGACGGTGCCATCCCTTAGGATGTATCTCTGATAGTTGTTCGACTTAATAACCTGATCCTGTATTGCACAGACAAAACCTTCGGTTTCCCCAAAGAGGTCA